GGAACGTACGCTCTAACATAACATGTACATTTAAATTATATATATATACATGTATATATATATATATATATTTAGAATCTAATGAAGGTAGGAACATCAAATTAAATGACGTTACACTATACAACATTCCCCCCCCCCCCCCCCCCATTTTTCCCCAACAAAAAAAAATTGATAGAAAAACAACACATCAGAACAATAACAAGAAAGAAAGAAATACACACTAACAGAATAAAACACCACAAAGGGGGAAAAATAAAAGTAACTGTAACGTATTCAACAAATCAACGTGGTGACAACAAGTGAGAAAGAGACGAAGTGAAGCTAGGTGAACTTTCTTTCAAAAGTAAAGAGGTTCGGTTTCTTACTTTTTTCTTTTTTTTTTCTTCGCCTTTTATTCCCTGAGTCGGGCACCAAAAAATGCCAAAAAATCGAGCCACGACTGATTGGTCGTGGCCGCGACAAACGCAGATGCTAGTTCTAATAGTAGTAATAGTGCTATGTGTTTTTATCAATAACTCTCTGTAGATCTAGATCTAGATCTAGACAGCACACAAGTGAACACAACACATTAAGTTTAAGAGCAGCACCCTTCATAGGCAACACGTCATATCTGTAGCGAAAAACTGTTTGGAACTGTGGCATTTCTTTATATAAATATTTACTGCGGACATTTTTTGGACCGATTGAACCATATTGTAATATGAACAATCTTTGGTAGGCCTATACTATAATTATAGATCTATATAATATCAGAAAATTTGCGGAAAGGATGTGATTTCAAAGTGTTCGGAGAAATAGTGCCCAGCTTTATTTTCCCGAACGTTCTGAGAAATAGTGCCCAGCTTTATTATCCTGAACGTTCGGAGAAATAGTGCAGGCCTTTTTATTTGGCTCAAAAAGAGGAGCATCCCTACGTGAATGAGGATGAAAAAAAGAGGAATGCCCAGATCTAGATCTAGATAATTTCCAACCTTCTTTTGAAACGCCCCGTGCCAATAATATTTTGTAGTATTCACACACCTTACATTACTTACAAGTGCGAATATTTATAATTTCATAGTATTCACACTACACCCTGTGCGAATAACATTTAATTTCACAGTATTCACACACCCTGAGCGAATAAAATTTCACAGTATTCACACACCCAGTGCGATTAAAATTTCATAGTATTCGAATACAATTCCATAGTATTCACACACCCAGTGCGAATAACTACAGCCGTTTTAAAAAGCATGCCGACATGATGATAATAAGACGATTTGATATTTTTTTAAACTTTCCCTCCCGTCTCACACTCGGCTACCAGTTGTCTATTTTCTACTAAATATTGATGCCCAGAACACGAATATCAACTTCATTTCCGTCGCAAATTAATAGTTTTTAAAATATTTTATTGTTCGCAGTGGCTATTTTTACGGCGAGCCGTAAAGATAGCCTCCCAGTGAGTCCCAGGCTATTTTTACGGCGATCCTCGAAAAGCGACCCTACTCCGCCTCTCATGTACGCGACATGCCTCAATGTATTAGATCTAGGCCTATAGGGGTCGTTCAAAATATAAACTTACACCTCAGAGGGGAAAGGGTGTCTTTGGCTTCTGTAAGAAAAATGTAAGATTGGGTGGGGAGGTTAACCAAATATGACACTTCTGTGAGATGAACGTTTTGCTCATGACTGGGAAGAAAAGGTAAAAGAAAAAGTGGATAAATGCCAGTAACAAGACCCAGATCTGCATGATCACTGCAGATCCCCGTTGTTTTTTTTGCTTTTTGTTGTTGTTTTTTTAGGGGAGGGGGGGTACAAATAATTTTGAAATTATGATGAAAATTCTGTAGGTGGACATCTAATTTCTTAATGTTTCTTTATAACTTTGCAACTGTTTTGTTGATCTTTTAATGTCTTTTATTTGTAAGACACGTACCTATTGGATTGACAACAGTCTCAATGTCTTCCACATAAATGCGTTTCTTTTTAGTCCATATGGTTTGATTAAATTGTATTAACTGAAATGATCTTTTTTTTTTTACAAGTTAGTTAAAAAAAGCCACGTATAGTACAGGTATCTTTAAAATAATAATGGAAATTGAAGATCGGTAAAATTACTAATATTAAATTGGTGTAGGTGGGGGTTGGAGGCAAATGTGAGAAAAGTGGTATTGGGTTTTGTGTTTTAAAAAAGTCCCCAAAAGTGTAAGATTATATTTGAACAGCCCCATAGGTTTTCCATTTCCTCCTCTTCACCGTATTCTATTCTCTTCTTCATCTTCCTTCTCCCTTCCTCCACCACCACCTCTTCCTTCTTCTCCCCACCATCATCATTCACCCTCTCTTTATCATCACCACCACCATCACCTCCTCGTCACTATCATTACCATCATCACTGCCACTGCCAGCATCATCATCTCATTCACTGACATCACTACATGTACCACACCCACAAGAAGAGCGGCCATTTTGAAGTTAACACTTTTCGCCTTGGGAATGCCTTTAAAATGTTCCTCCTTCCTTATAATTTGCACTGAGCAGATTTTTGATAGAGGTGTAAAAAAAAAAATTTTTGCGTTCACAATGATTAATTTATTAATTATTGTGATGCAATTTCAGGGTACAGGAACACATATATATTTTTTTAACATTCAAATTTCAAAATTTTGCTCAGTACGATTGACCATAGTATCTTCTACCATTCCACCAATTTTCATGCAATTTTGTTAGAGAGTAAGAAGCCTTCGTTTTTTTTAAATTATTGTTTGTTTTGCATGTTGGTGCTGTAAAGTTTCCATTCCATGGCAACTTTCATATTTTCCGACTTATCAAAATTTACTTTGTTCATTATTTCTTATGCCTGCATAATTTTTTTTCCTAAATATGAATCGGAAAAAGAATCACCCTTGGGGTGAGCTGTTCCCCGTAAAAAAGGACAGTAATAATATGAGCACATCAGAAAACAAAACACAAAAACTTAAAAAATGCGATCTATTTTATTATTTCAAAGAATCCCACAACAACAAGGTCCTAGTAAAGAACATAAAAACATTGAATTGTTTAAGTCCAGAATAAAGACTATAATTATGATAATACTAATAATAGAGGACATTTAATTATAGTGCCTTACTCTCGGTTTTAACCAGCTCAAAGTATGTTACATTAGTTTAGTCATTTAGTAAAATGTAGTATAAAATAACAAATAAGGTAGTAGCCTACGAGACCTACAAGCCAAGACGGAATTTATAAGACTGAAAAACGTGTACTACGTCATCAGTTTGTGACCGCCGTAAAAAGAACATTTCAGTTAATACAATTTAATCAAACCATATGAACTAGAAAGTGAAAGAACGCATATATGTGGAAGACATTGAGACTGTTGTCAATGCAATAGGTACGTGCCTTACAAATAAAAGACATCAAGACATTAAAAGATCAACAAAACAGTTGCAAAGTTACAAAGAGGGCCACCTCTATTCTCACCCGGAGTGAGAATAGTGCAGGCGAGTCTTGTGGCTATTCTCACCCGGTGCGCGTTCACCAAATTTTGCGTTCACCCTAAACCACAGAATTCTACACTGTGATAACAGAAAAATTGTAGAATTCTGTGCCGTGAACAAACGTTCCATTACAACTGTAGCCTACTAAAAGCGTACAATTTTGTCTGTGGGTAGTGGAGAGAGAGAGAGAAAGAGAGAGAGGAGTAGCGCGAGAATTTCCGGGCAAAACAAAATGGCGACCCGCGTAGTTCGGCTCGATTCGAAAAGTTAAATAGCCGTAGCATCTTTGTAGACAACCAAATTAATTTACTTTTGTGTTCTAACATCACTTTTTAACTTTGTTTTGGTCAATTTGAACGTCCACACTGATAGACAGTATTCAGAAAGAGACAGAGAGAGAGAGAAGAGGGGAGGGGTTGATCTTGCGAGAACTTCCGGGCGGGTGAGAATAGCCACTTTCTACAAAGAAACATTAAGAAATTAGATGTCCACCTACAGAATTTTCATCATAATTTCAAAATTATTTGTAACCCCCCCCCCCCCCTCCCCTAAAAAAAACAACAACAAAAAACCAAAAAAAACAACGGGGATCTGCAGTGATCATGCAGATCTGGGTCTTGTTACTGACATTTATCCACTTTTTCTTTTACCTTTTCTACCCAGTCATGAGCAAAACGTTCATCTCACCTCCTCCCCACCCAATCTTCCACTTTTCTTACAGAAAAGCCAAAGACACCCTTTCCCCTCTGAGGTGTAAGTTTATATTTTGAACGACCCCTATAGGCCTAGATCTAATACATTGAGGCATGTCGCGTACATGAGAGGCAGAGTAGGGTCACTTTTCGAGGATCGCCGTAAAAATAGCCTGGGACTCACTGGGAGGCTATCTTTACGGCACGCCGTAAAAATAGCCTGGGAGGCTATCTTTACGGCTCGCCGTAAAAATAGCCACTGCGTTTATTGTTTTTAACCGAGATAGACGTGCTTTGGACCAATCGGGGGGTTCCAGGGGGGCCTGCCCCACCACTGGGGTAAAAGAAAATCTGGGGGGTTACAGGGGGGCATGCCCCCCTGTTTTTACCCATAATTTGACATTTTACAGTTAGATTTGAAATTGTCTTGAAAATAATTGATTTGCGACAGTTTTAGTGGCTTTATGTGTGATCTGTAGCAAACAGTACTGCAGTTTGACCCCTGAAACAGTGCATCTCTGTGAGCGGGAGTGAAAGTAAAAATTTACCGACGATTTAGACTAATTTAGTGCAGGGAAAGATTTAGAGACAAAAGTAGTTTAGTGACTAGTGTCTACATGATAGTATACAATCTAGATCTAGAATCTAGATTTCTAGATCTAGAATCTAGTAGTAAGTAGTAGTGACTGTGTAGACTCTAGTTGTGTGTGTAATAAATTTTATAAAAGTAAAAGTGTAACAGTCACAGTAACAAACAGTGTACGCTGTGGCTGTGGGAAAAAGTAAAAAGTAAACAACACTGCTGAGATAGCAGACTTCAAACCTTTTAACTTTTCCTTCGTTTTTGATTCATTTGAAGAGTCATGGTCGAGTTCACTGCCATCCACAGCCTCCATTGCAAAAATGTGCAATCGTAACCCCCTGCGGCCAGGGGCTCTCGGCTAGTGGTGGCACTACGCAATGGCACTGACCAAATAAATGGACGCTCTGAAGCCGTCGGCTTCCCTGGCTTGTCCGACAGCCGCTGAAGCACGATGTAAGACCTTCGGGTAAGACTGCACTTTCACGAATGAAGGGCACCCAGAAGCAGGTGCCTATTTACGTGACGATCCTTAAATAATAGCTGCTCCTTCGTAAAACACAATGCAAAATGTTACAGAAAACTGCAACCTAGGTCTGGGTATTGTTCTACGATACATCACGCTCAGACACCGCAGCCATTTTGTTTGATTGTATGCAATGAATTGTGGGTAAAGCTATCATTTCAAGATGGCGGTGAGTCGGGAGTGATGTTTATGAAGTCCGAGAAGAGAAAATGAATTTAGTCTTGACTTATGCATGTTCTGTCCAACTGAGTATCCTAATGGAGCGTTCGCAAACTTTGTTGAGACCTCTTTTGTTGCTGGTATTTTCTTTCACGTGATTGTGATTAGAGGAAAATTATTGCTTTTAACGACCCATGCACACAAATCGGACTCGAAAGTCCAATCATCAGGGTCCGCTGGACTTGTCCCAGATCTGACCTACCAATTAGACACACACAAGAAGGGCTAGACTGACCCACCCCCCTGCTACAGGCAGTAACTTTTTTTACAGCTATTACTGTGGATGAAAAGCATAGATTACAAAACAATGGCTGCACGTCTACGTTCTCTCCTTGATCTGGACCATATGTCCCTTGTCACTTGTGGTAGTTGTAGCCTATCATTATCAACTGATTTTCACATGATAGAATCTTGAGGCTACTATGGCTCTCCCCCTCCAGTCCCAGTCTCAGACTCGGTGGCAGTGGTGCCTCAGGTCAGACTTGTTATCTAGATCTATGTGTACTTAGATCTAGATCTAGATTTAGAAAAAATTCCATACACCCATGAATATGATGGGAGCCAGTGAAGGCTGTGAACTCGTCACAGCTGAAAAACGTGTGTGGCAAGTTCACCGGAAAAAAGAATCCAAATAACAGTGAATGGCACTCTTCAGGAAGAGTGGTCCTGACCTAACGCCTTACAAATTTATACACATAGATCTAGATGTAGATCTATTACACAATGGGAAACAAAAACGGAAGTAGATCTAGAGTAAAAACAGCTGGCGTAAGAATGGGTTTGGGCCTTTTCTTTAAATTTACCTGTGTCTGTCTTATTCCATTTCTTAGCTTTTTTTTCCCCTTCCAATTATTCAATCTTCAATCTGATTGAAGGCCTAACTTTTGCTTCACCCCCTGTCGAAGTGTAAAGTTACCTGGCGGTCCGATGAGTTGGGTCTGTCAGGGGGCCCCCGTCCAATTGCCTTGTCCCTGTCCTGTCTGCGACTGAATCTCTCAGTGAGTCTCTCAGACGATCTCCGCCTATGTTCCCGCGGCACCTTGTGACATCGTCCAAAGGCGTGCCACTCCCTTAATTGTCTTGTCCTCACAGTAAAGATAATAGTCATGTCCCTTGACATCACATCCAAGTTGCCCCTTTTCGCCCTGTTGAAATTGCACTCAGCTTTAAGATTGAAAAGTACACGGAGATGGAGTTCTCTGGAGCTTTTTGACTTAAAAGAGAAACAAGTGGAAGCCTAGGACGCACAGATTTTATTTTTAGATAGAATCAAATGTGCAACGACACATGGGTCAAATGATACGCAAAAGCCTAGTCTAGGTTGAAGCAGCGTTAAAGTTGCCCCGTGGCCGAATTTTCTCCAACCTATGTGACGAAATAACTGTGACGATATCACTGAAGGTATGTGACGAGTTCACTGGTATCCAAATATGCTAGAGTCTAGATCTACTGTTTTAGAGTCTGAGTCATTCATTACAACTCTACAGGAGGATATATTTCAGAAAAGTTGTAACTGTTGTAGTTGTAGGCCTATCTATCCTATGTTATAAAATTTCGACCAATTTTCTTTTTATAAAGCAAAGGCCTAGATCTTGTATTTGATTAATCGACAGAGATAAAAAACAACAAAAAAGCCCCTCTATACACATTGGCTTGTTTGTTTGTGTTTTTTATTCCAATTTCCCAGTAACAATGGGCAAGTGGCTGGCACCATTTTGAACTTTACTTTGGTGTAGTCATTGGATTTCTTGGCTAAATATTCCAAGCAGCCCTTGTAAGTGTTTGTTATTTAACTCTAGAAGTGCTCAGCGTTTCCCCGGAAGTAACCTGCCAAAAATGCCCCGCTTCCACGACCAATCGGTGGTAAACATTGGGGTTTGGCGGGGGGGGGGGGGGGGGGTCAGCTGAGATACCCGAGAAGTATACCTGCTACTGCTACTGAAAAATTACCTTTTACGGACGGTTGAACAGATGATAAAAGGCATATAAAACCACATCTTTTCTTAAAGCTGATCGAATGAGCCATTCAAAAATGATAAGCGATCTAAAAAATACAAAGTGCAAAACACGATACAGTCGATGTCGGCTTTAAGCACGGTCATCAGGGGAAAAGCATAAAAGCGTACTTAATGCTGAGTGTGCTTGAGTGCGAGGTAGAGATTCTTGTCATAATCCAGTGATTTTTAGATTGTTATTTTCCTTTTTTAGGAAAACTGCACGGGGCATCTTAACCTTACTGGTTAATTTCTCTCTGTAAAGGTCAAAGCCAATCGATGAGTTGAGTACAAAGGTTTTTTAAATCACCGCTAGGAGAAGAGGAAATTTGTTCGGGTTTTCAGGTTTGAAGTTTGTATTATTAGGCTTTTTAAAAAAGGCTGGCTCTATTTCTCAGAACGCTCGGAAAAATAAACTTGAATTTTATTTCTACTAATGCTCGGTAAAATAAAGCCTGGGGAAAGATCCACAGCTTGTTTGAAAACATAGGGCAAAGACATGCACACAAAAAAACTGCGAAGAGCCAGTGGAAACAGGTGGAAAATTTAAGTAATTCTTAAAACCGGTCTATATAGAGGCGGATCAAGTGATCCCCAAGGGTGCTGATTATGCCTGCTTGTCTCTGCCAGCTTTTACTCCTTTCTCTCTGTCTCTGCTGGTTCCTTCTCTGTTTCTCTCTGGGTTTCTGTCTGTTTCTCTCTGGGTTTCTCTCTCTGGCTCTCTGTTTGACTAGCTATCTCCATCTGTCTTGTCTCTCTCTCTCTCTCTCTCTCTCTCTCTCTCTCTCTCTCTCTCTCCCTCTCCCTCTCTCTCTCTCTCCCCCCCTCCCTCCTCCCTCCTTCCCTCTTCCTTACTCTGTTCATATCAAGCTATGTTTGAATTCGATTTAAAAAATGCTTCTTCTTAGTCCTCACAGAATAACAGAATGAAAGATGATGCCGAACTCTCGCAAATTTTTTTTTTAATTGAGGACGGAAACTGTTCGGAGAAACAGAGGCCTAGTATATTTTCCTGAGCGTTCCGAGAAATAGTCAATTCCCAAAAAAAATACAAGAATAGGTGAAAAAACAGACCCACCACTCATGTGCATTTAATCAGGATATCCCGATTTTTTTCCCCCAAATCTCAAGCATCTCGTTTTTCCTGATTTCGACTGTGATCCCAATATTTTTTTCCGTCTGTTGCTCCTGATTTTTCTGAAAACTTTTCCTTCTCTGTGGCGGAAAGGACCTGTTGAACTTTTTGTCAGCAGGTACTCTGAACATTATTTTTCTGAATATCCTTTGTTGGAGCTTTGCTCGCACATGTTGTTTCTGTTTCAACTGTAAACTGTAATAGAAGTTGTATCATATGGCATTCCAACTTATGGAACATTCTCAAGGTCTACTTTCGCTTTTGTTACCACTCCGAATTCTTCAATGATTTCCTGATAACTGTTACTCTTGAGCCATTGCCAAAACGTGGGGGGAAACACATGTATACATCTCACATTAGTGTGCATAAAATGTGATGCATTAGTATTTATTCCTCCAAAACTTATACATATATATGTTAAGTATAGGATGTAGAACCTGCATTAGCAGTTTCAGACCCAGTGTCAGCTTTACTATCTTGAGTTTGTTAATTTTTTGCCAAAAATGTTCGTTTTTTGTGATTCCTGGACTCTCATTTTGAGCACACCAATGCAAACTTCCAAGAAAGTCCAAAAGGTAGTATTTTTGGGTGTTTTTTTTTAATCTGTGCTTTGATTCTATGCTATTTGTGATCGAGAAAGGTTCACTTGCTCAAGAAATCGGTTGTTTGCAAATAAACGAATAATTCGGATCACTTGTGCGTCAGTGGTGTCGTCACGGACTAGGTGTTTCAGAAAACACCATTATTTTTCAGTAGAATCACCACAGCTGGTTAAATCTTTTTGCTTTACGTCGTTTATTCAGTAGTTCAAAAGCCGCGATGCGCGAAAGGAACATCGGGTTCCTAGATCTACGATTTCGGTCAGCTGTTTAACATTTGCCGTTATTGGCGTCACTTTGCGACGTACCGGAAGTCCGAATTTTAGCCTACTTTTGTTTTGAACGGATCATCAACAGTGCCCGGATATAATTGTTTTCTTGAGTGACTTCCCCTTACCCGCTTCCCCAGAACAGCGGAAGCAACGGGGGAAAGAGAAAAACGAAAGTAGTCATTGCCGTCACCTTCGGTTACGCACAGAAATCTTGCGTTGAATGTGACGTACTGGACTGAAATTGCGTGTTTTTAGGCTACCCTATTGAATATTTTTGTGAAATTGCGGTGTTTACATTGGATTCCTGGAACAGGAGTGTGATGTGTGAACAAACTTCGAGAGATGGATCATTTCTGTGGTTATAGATTTAGCTTTTGTGCTCAGTGATGACGTTTGGGGTGTCGTCATGCAGCCGTACAAGACTGACCGACGTACTAGAAATTACATTGTCCTCAGAGTAAACATTTTTTATGTCATGCGTGCTCTTTTTACTCAAACAAATAGACAAACATGTCCTTGTTTATTTGTCTAACTCAAAAGTACACATTTGTTCTTTGTTGGCATGATATGCCTTTTTCCAATACATTGTGTCATCATTGTTATGTACAAGTAATATTTTTCATAATTGCTAATATCAATAAGTTTTCAACATATATTTCATACATGCAAGATTCATTTAGAAACAAAATACGCCTTTATTGATCTGTGTATCTCATAGTGCAAATTTGTTCTTTGTAGGCATGATTTTACCTTTTCCCAGTATGTTTTGTCATCACTGTTTATGTACGAGTACTGTTTGTCATAATTAGCAACGTAATTGTGATTGTTTACTGTCTTTGATATGACCTGATATCTGTTTCAAAGCAAAAGAAACCTCTCCTGGTTTGTTTTTTTAATTCTTAAAGTGTGCTTTTCTCTCTGGAGGCATGACTTTGTGTTTTCCTGTACATTGTGTCATCATTGTTATGTACAAGTCATGTTTGTCATCACTGTTATGCACAAGTCAGCCCCATTGATTTTGTGCTTTTGCCTCATATTAGTTAAAAAATTGTTTTACACGTGTGTTTTTCTGGTGCTGAGGCTTTGATAACTGTATTTGTACAGCCTTTCACTATTGTGATGTGTTGTCAATGATAATGTCCAATGTGTATCCTTTCTTGTACATGATAACAATGATGACATGTTCTGTGCACTGCGTCATTGTTACAATGCTTGTCATTCATATTACCATTATGAATGGAGTTCATAGTGTACAAAGTGTTTGTTTACTAAACAAATGGAATTTAAAGTCTATAATTTGCCTTGCTGCTTATATTATATTTATCTGTTTTTGTCGTCACTGTTACATACAAGAAATACAGTGGTTGCCAAACCAATAGACCCATATCTCCAAAACCCTACATCTCCTTGCTCTGATACTGTAGGAATATGAGCTCTAAATGTGAATCTGAGACTGACAGAAAAGGGAGTCAAATTGGTAAGAAAAAAATTTTGGAACCACTGAGTCTCAAGAGAGTCTCACGTTTTGGCAATTGCTCTCTTACGATTGTGACATACAAATGATTGATCAATATCGTAGTTCTGCTGTTACTTTCAAAACAAGCTTCGCCCGAGTTCTTGTTAGTTGGACCTGTCATCAAGACCCGTCAGTATAACTGCTTCAATCGCATGTTCGCGTCACTCATGGATTCCGCATGTGAGTTCCGCCTGTGTCGGGGACCGCCCGTTAATGGGGTTGACTTAAGTTCATGCACGCTGGTTGAAGGGTCTTTCGGGACTTATCGGGGAGGGGGTATTAGACACTTGGACTAAAAGTGCTTGACGTAATACTACAGGATTTAAAAATGACAAAGCACCCACACATATGCACACGCAGGGAATACATGTATATATACATGGATAAATATATTTATTTGCACTCATGGAAAATGTTTAATTAAGTCAGCTTGATAGTCACCCTGAGTGTTCTGATTTTTAGGTTTCTTAAAGTGGCAGGTCTGACAATAAATATGACATCAGGACACGGAAGAAAGGCCTCTGTTTCAGTAATTTGTGTCAGTAAACTAACCACAGTGGACTCTGCTTGAATTGATCTTTTTCTCGGGTCCCAGCACCTCTTCTTTACAGATTTCAACGATTAAGTTGCACTTCGGGTGAGTTGATCTTTTTTTCACTTACCTGACGACATCAACTCATCCATAGTTGACTGTAGCAAATTGGATGCTGATCATAGATTTTCACTATTAGGCGTTAGATAGAGAGTATGCCTCCTTGCTACGCGATGGCCCTACTCGATAGCGGCGTCCGCCATGTTTGAGTTGGTCAGCTGTGTGAAGGAGTTCACGTTAAAGCAATGGACTGGGCATGCTTTTCTCTCTCTCGCACGCAGTAGGCGAGACTTGGCCTTTGTTGATTTTTTTTTTTTTTTTACCTGGGCGCTGTGGTGTACTATCTAGACTAGATAAAATATGAGCGTACTTTCTACGACTATATTTACAAGTAAATGTATTATTAAATAGATAAAGATAAGATAGGCTTTAAAACAAACAAAAATAACAACAAAACAACTTTATTTTGGGGGGCTCTCGTGGCCTAGAGGTTAAGGTGTTGGCCTCTCATTCAAAGGTCCCGGGTTCGATTCCGGGTAGCGACCAAAAAATTTTCTTCTCTAAAAATGTCTCCTTTCTCATTCTTTCCTGCTCTCTAACAATGTTCTGTTGTCTGCTTTCATTTCCACTTTCTGCCCCCACCCCCTCACCTCCTTTGCCCCCTCCTCTGGGCTCCTGACTCTGTCTGCAGCCTTTCTACTGCTACTCCTTGGCTCCTCCTAACTGCTGTCTTTCTGCCACACCCCTGATCTTCTGGTAGGAAAGATCTACACCTAGCCTTCTCGGACAAGGGCGAAAAATCTCGGAGGGCACGTGTGCAAGTTGCGCACGTTAAAGATCCCTTGGTGGTCTAAAATCGATAAGAGTAGGCTTCGGCCGCCACCCGGGCAAAATTCAAAATTTCCTACCAACGAAAAAGTATTAGGTGTGTCCCGCGCGCTCATATGACCTTATGCAGTTGCGAGCGCCGTAAAACCCTATACTAAACAAACAAACAAACAACTTTATTTCTTCATCAGCACTTTATCTACGAGGTGGTTTATTTCTTATTGACTGAATCTAAGCGTATCTATAGGGCATAATAGGGCCATAGAATTTTTAAGAAGCATTATGAAAAGATGGGTGTCAGGGGAACCTCCCAACCACCCCACCCTCTCTCCCCTCCCAAGTCATAATTCCAAGCCCCTCACCACCACCAATATATGAGTTTGGCTTAGATCTAGAAAAGGTACAGAAAAAAATTCCTGGGTTTTTCTGCCATTAGAGATAGGAAGGCAATGAAGCTCTTGAACAAATTCAACCAAGCAAATGATGAATGCATGGTATACTCTAGTATTTTAACAAATCGAGTTAAATTTTCCCTTGTGACATTTGGACAGGAAACTGTATTTTTCATACTTCACTTATTTTTTTAATTATACAACAAATATGCAGTGTTTTCTTATGTCGGTATTAAACTTTGGTTTATATTGATTTTAAGAACTTAATTAGACTATTTACAGCACTTAAACTTCCTTCTATTGCTATATTTTTTAAAGTAAGTCTATTTTTGGACATTGGTAAAACAACTATTTTCTTTATGTCACACCCTGGACTCAGTAAAGATTTTTTTAAATATCTCCCACGGTTTACCCAAGTTAACCAGTTGGGTGGAAACAGATTTTCTGCTGCTGATAAATGAGGCGTGTGTCATCAGGCCCCCCACCACACACACACACACGCACGCACACACGCACTTACTTACACAACTGCCCTATCCTCTGACCTCACACAAATCATGAGGTGAGTGGCTGCTTGTGCTCTGTCCAGTTGGTGGCTTGCGATAAAAGTGTCACCCGTTTGGTGAGAGACAAGGTTTTGATAAGTGTGTTATTGTGTGGCTTTTCTAACCCCTTATTCTTGGTGATTGTTTGTTCATTTTTCGACCATGTGTACTTCATTTAATTCTGAAATAAAACAAAACAAAAACTACAACATTAAAAAAAACTGAGTATGGTGTGCACTTTGTAATGCAGTGTGTTAAAATTTCAGTCTCATTTATTTTTTATGTCTTTTGTTAGATTTCTATTTCATAAAGAACCCGATTTGAAAGTCAAAATTTTTCTTTGTGCTTTCAGATTCACACTCGCAAATTTGTCACATGCACCTGATAAAGGAAAAATTATCATAGCTCTAGAACTATGGACCCCAATCATTGGAATACATACAACTTGCAGTATGGACACTCCACTCCAGGTAAGTCAATCTCCTCCACTTATTATCTCTTTTATATCTGTCAGCTTTTAGGCTGACCTTTTGCTACTGTCCGCTTCTTGGATTATGAAATGGAAAATGTATTCTATCAGAAGATGCGTGGTGCAATGCTTAAAAATTGAAACGTAACTAGTTTTATTGGGAGATGTTATATGCAAAAGAGTCACCATTATTACATGTGTATCATCACTTTTATATGACTTCTTACTTCAGCTACTGTTTGCATCAAGAAAGTATTACATTATGGTAAGGGGGATGTCCAGAAAGTAAGTACCATTTTCACATCTCTCCGAACTGAGTTTGGACATTCCCGATTTTGCACCACAGTGAGTTGGTGTGTTCAATGCTGAACCGGAAATTAGTAGAATTTTTGGAAAATTGGATGGCAATTAACTCTGATGTGTACTGCAACACGCTTTAAAAAACTGCGTAGAACGATTCAAAACAAAAGACGAGGAATGCTTAGCGACGGCGTTGTTTACAGGGTGGCCAGGAAAGTCGGAAATTTTTGTTTAAGTCGGATTTTTATGTCAGAAAAATTTTGTTCCGACGGAAATGGTTGGATAAACGTCGGCAATAAAAGGAAATTTGAGAAAATCTGTAAGTTGCCTTGGGAAAAACCCGGGAAAATACATAAAAGTTCTCGAATATTTGAAAACCAAATCCGATAACGTCCCTAAGTTCATTTTGTCGGTCGCGATCATTCAGCTTTTCCCGGTCTGAGAGTACGTTTCATGCGAACGGGCGGCGGCAAGCGGAAGTGTACGAGTGATGCCGAGGCTCGATCGGGAAAATCTATATCTAGATCTAGTTTCGCTTTCACTACCTCCCTGAAATTTGCCGATAAAAGTCTGATGACACAACATTGTTGTAACATGCAGTTTGTGCATTACAAAGGCTGTGTCGCTATGAAAATAAATCAATATTTGTATCTTGTTTGAAAAGAAAAGAAAGTTATACAAGCGTCTTGTCAGGCTCGCCGTCGTGACCGGTCACTGAACCTGCGCGTTTGTATGTCACACACATGATGATAGTAGGGCGTCGAGTGAGTACCGCGAATGTTAGGGTCACTAAAGTTCATTCTAAGTCTGAGCGTTGCGAAGTATAGGACTCCGGGATGGCGGGATTATTATTTTTTTTAAAAGATACACTCGGGTGGGGGGAGGGGGTTAAAGGCAACACCAGGGAAAAAAACTGAACTTGGTAGCAAATTTTAGCATTAGCATTTGGAATTTTGAATGCAACGAGAGCTTTCTGCATAGCGCGTGTTGTGCAGGACTTGTGTGGAATCGGGATCCGTCATACCTTGTAAGCTGTGTTATTATTGAACTAATGGGTTTGCGTGTCATTGGATGGGTGATAGTCGTTTGACCATGGAAAAACTCAGCAAGATAGTCTTTGGAGAGTAGAAGATTGACGGCACTTGGCATACTGAAACCCAGGCTAGAAACAGACTTATTTTTCTTATGATTTTTGTGACTATATATATGTGTAGACTATAACTAGAGAGAGAGAGAGATCTAGACTAGATCCAGCATCATGGGAAAGTGCTACTTCATCAACACTGAGTGGTTGTCCAACTCTTAAGTATTCAGAATGATTGCAGAGTATCCAAATGATAAAAGCAAGTTTAGATGAAAATTTTGTTCCCAAGTATTTGTCATCGGTCATTCGGCTTTGAATACTGACATGGTACCTCAAAAGCACATGAAAGCCCAAACCAGCCAGTGTGGTGCCAAATCTATTCTTAAGGTAACCAAGAACAGAACAAGTGTTGTGAGAGATACTGAAAGGAGCACCAACAGTAATATAATAGTAATCAACTAGAGCAGTTGTTGACACGAGTCTTCTCATTCATGAGATGTTTTCAGGCTGAAAAATAGCTGAGATTTCAGTGTAGTTGCACAAAACGTGGCTACCTTGGAACATTAATTGGGATTGCCCCAGTGATGTAGTCGGCTATCCTAAGATGTGTACGAAATAGCTCCTTCTACGTGATTCTCTTTGACGAGAGCCTAACACTGACAATGGCAAGAAACAACTTGACCTATAGTGGTAGGATTTCTTTTGGTGTGGTAGGATTTTTAGGAGGAAAATTTCCCTGGCCACCCTGTGTTTTGTTTCACGACAATGCAACTCCTCACAAGTCTGCACAGACCCAAAACCTGATTGAAGCACCCATCGTATAGCCCAGACCTGTATCCAAGTGACTTTCATCTGTTCCTGCATTTGAAAAAATGTTTGGCCAGGCAGGACTTCAACTCAGACGCTGATCTCTCTCACAGGAGAGACTCGACATTGGCTGACATCGCAGGCGGCAGCTTTCTATAACGACTTTCAGAAGCTCGTCCCACGCTACGACAAATGCCTCAACAGTTCTGGTGTCAACGTGGAGAAGTAGTTATATATATATATATATGAGGCATTCAAAAATAAATCATTTTGATTGGGAAAATTATTTCTTTTATAATTATTTTAAAACGCTACTTACTTTCTGAACGTCCGTGCTTATTTAAATACCTTGAATTCAGCAAAGTTGCATAAGTGGTATTTGAAACTTTTGTGGTGAAAGAAGGGGTGGGGAGGGGGCACTTTATGGATCACTGGATCTCTGCATGGAGGTGTGTTTCTGAGTTTTTCTATGCCAAGCATGCTTCTCTCGTCATGTAATGTCTGATTTAAACATACACTAACATGTTCGGGTTTGTGTATTTTACAGGTCTTGGTTTGAGCCACACTCTCCAGGCTACTCATGGGTCCCTGGGTGGCCGCTCAGTCCCGACCCTCCCACCGGTCAACTACCCAGGTTTGGGTGTGCCCATACTGGACACCATGGCTCCTCTGGCTACAGGCATTGCTGCCCAGCCCACGCACAAAGCCATGAGCCTGGCACAAGGACAGCTGGTCTTCGATTCACAGGTAGGTAGGAGTTGCATTCTGTACCTCAGGGAGATAAAAATGAGGTCATGCCTCTGAAATGGAGGAAGATGAGGTTGTTCTTGTTTGGGTTTTTTCTTGCAGTTTCTTTCTTTTTCAAACGTGAGTGGGAGCATGATGTATAATTAAAAATAATAATAATAATAATAATAAGAGCATTTGTATCCCGCCTTTCCCCACAGCATGGGCCCAAGGCGTACACAGGAGATTAAAAACACATTCATACTAACACCATACAAATTCATCATGTGTGCACTTTTTGACAGCAACATTCTTTCAGACAATAAAAAATGCTCATACAAAAAGGCAAAGGCACTGTCTATTAATTAAAATATTTCTTAAATAGATGTGTTTTGAGTCCCCTTTTGAAAGTATCAAGTTTTATTTCGCTCCTCAAATCATGAGGGAGAGTGTTCCAAACTATTGGCCCAGAAAAAGAAAAAGCTCTCTCACCATATTTCTTCGATGACACACGAGGTGTTGAAATTAGTCTAGAGCCACTGGATCTTAGTTCACGTGATGGTGTGTACGATACAATGAGTTCTTGAATGAATGTGGGAGACTGGTTAGTTTGACCTTTAAAGCATAGTAGGGCTAACTTATATATATATATTCAATTCTCGCTTTCAGTGGAAGCCAATGGAGCTCTTTAAGTAGTAGTAATAGCTGTTTTTTAACAATTGAAGTCTACTGTTGTGGTTATGATATGCTTTATTTTTTTAAGGGGGCGGTCAGGTTGGACTTCAGCTGAAAACTGAGTCAAAGTATCATTTTTGAGGTTTTTGCGCAAGTGAATACCTGAATTTGTCTAGATATCAAATCCGGTATCTTATTTTGCTGAGATAAGCATGCTGTATGTGAAAATCCTAAAATCTTGCTTACTTATTGCTCTAGAGACTTGACAATTGACACTGTGATAGATTATCCATATTTCTAGGTATTGAGCTAGTTATTTTTTGTCTTTTTTTGTATATATGACAGGAAGTATGAGCGTTTTTATCAGGTTGGGGGGTGTATTTTCAACGCCTTTTTACATCCTGAAATTCAAAGTCATGCTATATCCATGAAAACAACCTAATAACAAAAATAGTTGCCCTATTACCTCAATATAGGTTGTGCCTTTCCATTCCTATCTTACAAAGTAGAATATCTTGATTAGTGTTTGAGATTTTAGGAATTTAAGATGTGTTTATTTTCAAGATGATCACTGTCACCATGGCAATGACTGATATATGTCATGAATAACACCCCAAATCATTTCGCACCTTGGCATTGAGTGTTACTATACTTAATTCATTTATTTAGGTCACGGAATAAAATATTTTTTGGCTCGCCTGACCTCCCCCTTAATTTTTATATATTGTAATATAGTTTTCTGTCTTGTTGTCTCGAATGTGAACATCTGTCAATAGAAAAATTCATCATGTTCTCAAAAAATAATATTGTCTGATTGTTCTAAGAAATTAGATCTTGAAAGGCAGCAATCCTTAGTCAAACGTTGTTGTGGAAGAGTTCTTGTACTAGGGAATTTCCTTGATTAATTACAAAGATTTATTGTTTCTATTTGGATTTCATTTTTCATCAACTAGTATTAAATGTATACCTGTATTTTCCTGACAGGGCCGTGTTTCGACTGAACATGAGCCTTCTAACATCAGTCGTTACGACACCACTGGTTCTAAAGCGTTTTCTCGGGATGCGGTTGCACGGAACCAGCAGTTTCTTGAGGCTGCTGCGGCGAGGGTGTGGGGAAGCGCCAACTTCTCCCCTTCCAGCATCTACAACCAGTTTGGAACTCTGCTGTCGGATGTGTCCAACGTGCCAGCAACTGCTGTCTCCACTTCCCCCGGTGCAGGTAGTGCCAGTATAACTGCCTCAAAGGCTAACCAAGGCCAGTTGCACGAACCACCACCTGCTCACAGCTCGAATGTTGCCCGGCTCAGCACAATCCAGAGGACTCCTCATACGCCTGATCTCTTCTACGCTCGCAGCTCAGAGTCGCTCATGCCCTCAAGTCTGGCTCAGATCAGTACTCTGTACTCGGATGCACTTGGGAAACAAGCAGGTGGTAGTCAACAGCAGTCGTCATCCTCATCGTCATCACTTCACCGTCAGACGCCAGTCCATGTTCCAGTGTTTTCTTCACACGGTGACATTGAGGACTTGTCCTCCAACTCCCAGAACCAGCTCTATGGCTCTTATGCGAACCTGTCTGTGACGGACTCTGGAGAGTTCTCCTCTGCCGCACAGCTGGCTGGGGAAATGAGTTACGAGGCTGTCAGCCCAGCCACACCTCTCAATGAGAACACTGTCCAGGTATCTGCTGCTGACCACGCCTCTTTTTCCATTGTCCAGTTTCCTGACCTAGCCAACCTTACCTCAGAGCACGCTCACACTTTGGCGGATAAGTTCCAGGCGAACGACTTTCGTCTCAAGATGGACTCTCGTGTGAACCCAACACCTCAGCAGGACAGTCTTGTGTCTCCTCCGCAGCTGAAGGTGCCTAAGGAAATGAGCAATGTTCACGCTGCTCTCTCCATGCACAATCCTAGGTATGCTAATTGTGGAATGTCAATAGGAAACTTATCTTCTTTTTGTTTTTTTTTATTTGGATGTGTGTGTGTGTGGTTGGAGAGTGCCACTGGTGGGTCTAACTTCTTTTCTTTTCCCTCTGTTGTTTCTGTCTGTAGCTTTTTCCCCAGTGCTTAGTGATATATGCCGATGTGCTTCTCTTTACTCAGACATGAACACCCCCCGGGGCAGTGCCACTGACTGTAGTGTCTTTAGGCCATTCCCAAAGGGGGGGCATTTCTCGTTCAAACTTATTAGAATTGTAAATGGGCTGACTCATATCACGCTCATAACTGTGCCTAATCTACAATAGGGAACTGCTGCTTTTTCTTTCCTGATCCTTACTATTGTCATTTTCCTCTACTTCTTTTGTATGTTTGTCACTCTCTTGTGACCTGCTATTTCCGGGGGGCCTTGATAGTCGAAGCAAACCTTGTGCTGTTGAAGCTGGAGAGGTGAGCAGTCCAAGTTTGATTCCCTGTAAAGACTTCTCTGTTGACACCCACCCCTTGGCGCTCATATGACTTTATGTAGTTGCCAGCCCCGTAAAACCCTTTACTATAAAAAACAACAACATGAAAACATTTAGAATTTTTGTTTTGATGCTCATTAACTCTTTGTTACGTAGTTTTTGGGGCATCTAGACATAATAAACCTGTGGCTCGATTTGGCTTTGCTAGTGGTCTACAAAATAACTTCATAGAAGCATAACCATCCCTCAAAATGTAACATATATTATATCCAATTGAAGGAAATTGAATGAGGAATACATCCCAATATGAAACAAGTACTAATTTTGAACATAAGTATGCATTAGAAGGCACGACTGTTCCACTCAGGATCACTTAGTTGCCGGCCGACCTGACCTCCGAGACGAGGTCACGCGCTACCTGTGGGCGCTCGGCCTCGCGGTCAGCGGCTCCCCCGCGATGTTATGTTTTGTACACATAAAACAACACCAGTTCTTATGAAAGCCGAGAAAGTCAATGAAACAACAACCATATGATCACACATGAAGACGAAGGTGTAGTTTACGACAGTATAATTTTTATCACGGAGAAGTAAAAGAAAGTGTAGTTTAAATGAGGGGGAATGTGGCTTTCATCATAGATTGGTTATTACAAACAAACATGTTTTTTTAAAAATAATTAAAAATAAACGGACCGACAGATTGTTACAGTCTTCATTTTCAGCCCACAGTCAGACTTTGAACTTTCAAACACACTTACGTTTATGAGGTACGACCAAAAAGTCTTGTTGCTATTGTTGATTAATGCACACAATCTTGTCAATGAGTGGGAAAACACTTTCACTTCTACCAGCAACCGACTGCCTGACTTTGTTAATTATATTTGTTCTTCGTTTTCTTTTCGGTGAGCTTGCTTAGTCAGATGATATTCTGTGTGTGACTATCCTTTGAAACACTAATGGCTGTCCTTTTGTTTTGAACCTCAACTGTCCTTTCCTCTGAGATGTGTTAAGCTTTCGTCTGATCAGATGTGTAGCAACTTTTTCTTCTAACGGCGTGAGTGGCTCTGTGTCCGATTTCAAAAGTGTTCACTCTAATATCGTTTCATGTTTGACTAATAGGGAGCTGGTACTATCTGTGAACTGGATCGTCTTCGTTTTAGGTGGGGATGTCAAAATATGAGTTTCTGGTGAAATGTAAAATGAGTCTTCGTCTGTATCATGTGTAAATGTGCTGTAAGTGGATTGAGTGGTAAAGGGCTGAGCACCATTGCCTGTACTTACAGAGGAAACATCTGGGGTGGGGGTATCTGTTATGCTCGCAGACTCCACTGCCATACGAGCGGGGGACGGAGAACGCAACTCGTGTCCTTCCGTATGCAAAGGAATGCGCTCTTTAATGCACCCTTTGCTAAGTTTAACACAGCAAGCACACACAGAGCACTCGTTAATGTTTATGCTTGCGTCGTAAGTGGACCAAACATAAGCACTGTCTTCTACACATTTCTGTGCGGCCTTCAAAGCCGCATTTGTAATAATTTCGCTTCCGTAGTGTGTATATGCGCGAGCCACATTTCCTGCACAGAGTGTTGTAATGCTTGTCGGCTGTGTCGTTGTCAATGTTCAGTCTATAATATTGCAATAAGTCAGACTTAAAGTTTTTACTAAAAAATCGACGCTGCTTAGAAACTTTAGTTTTTAAACTTCTTCCACCACAAGCACGACACAACTTGTTTTAATTCTCAAAGTGGATGTTATAAGAATGTTCCATCTTTGATGTTAAAAAGCTCTATAATTATAGACACACAAGAAAGTCAGACGGCAAGTTCCCGCTTCACAGAGTTTTTCTTTGCACCGAGCGTTGCAGTAGACTAGTCACATAAAGTGCGCTAGTTCATGGAAATTTAGCTCGTACCCTGAGATTTTTCAACACAATGGAGAGAATAGATTTATGAAAAGAAATATGAAGGTTAACACAAAAATTGTCGGTTCGAATTATTAAAATTCTCTTTTAAATCCAAAAAATTCAATAACACAGAGCTGTACAACAGTGGTAGTTTATAGGTATCCCAACGGAGTATAAAGCGAGATAGAAACTGGTTTCAAACTGCGGGTTATAGAGGAGATGCTGAGCTTTTATTTGGTATAAACACTCCAACGTTTACGGGATGGAGAAAGGGAGTACTATGCTGTAAATTCCAGTTTATTTCTGGAAATTGTACCCTTTCCGCGCGGAGCGGTCAGATCGAGGGATAGGCCGGTGGAAGTGGCGTAACGCGTCGAGATTTATTACCTTCCGCGAGGGGTCACAGGGTTCAGAAGGGTCAGACGGGCTACAACTAAGTGCACCGCTCGGAGAGTGAAACTGAACTGCCATGAAGGGAAATCTTGATGGTGATGAGAAAAATCAATTTTGATTGAAAAAATTACATTCACCAAACATGTGAAAGCGAATCAGCATAGCTATCTTATCATATATAGGCCAAGAGCATAATCCATAACTTTCTGAATGAGCAGCTTTTTATTTGAAAGCAATATTCCAATTTTTGTTTGAGTTATGATATTTATACTGAGTCCGGTTACATCATTTTGTTGATGCAAGACTGCAAGAACTAATTCACTCATTTTTCCCCAAACCCCCGCTTTGACAAAGTGAAACTAGATGTTTTCATTTCCTAAATCCTTTCCAAGTTATTCAATAGCAATAAAAAGTTTTAATGACGGATCGTGCTAAAACGAAACAATACTGAGGCACCCTATCACAGCCGATCAGTGATACATCCACAAGGGGTGCGAACTCGCGCCGATATATCGGCAATACGTCAGGAAAAAGTTAAAAACCCTTTGTGGCGTACTGTTAATGACTTTCGGTGTACAATTCTCCTCTGAGCCATTAACACTTTGCCACCTTATCTTGCCGATTGGCGATGTTTACCACCCAGTTTCTTTGGATATTTCCTCAAATGAGGTGGCAAAAAGTTTTTTTAAAATGTTATCTCTGAAACTAAAAAGGTCACTCAATCACAATGTACTACTGATAAATTTATTGTCTCCTCAGTAAACTGAAAAATACAGTTTGATCGTGTGAGCAAGAAAATGTTTGTGCAATGTTAAGAAAAACCAATGAAAAATTCTATGTGTAGATTTTATACAATTTACCTGTGCAGCAGTTTATGTAATGTCTGAAACTAGTGAAACCAGTTCATCTCAGTTACTGATAAAACCATATGCATATATTTTAGAACATAAATTTTTCATGAAAGAGGCTCCTCCAGGAAACTAGCTTTAATCCATTAAAGTTTACAAAAGCTGAAAAATGAATCACCATGGATGTATTATGATGTTTGTCAGCTAAAATTATAGAACTGTGACCATATTGAGCATTCCACTGAACATGTTTGCAAGTCAACAAATTCTTCTTTGAAGAAGAGCTTATGCAGCAATCAATTTTAGGTCAGCATATGACTCTGTGAATTTTTGCATAAAAATGCCTTTTTCTTATGGGGAAATATTTCCTGGAACTTGCTCAGTTTTTCAGTAGGTTTTTTTCATTAATCATGCTTTTTAGCCACAACTAAAACAGCCTTCAAAAAGCTGCGAACAGGGTAAATTTAGTGTAGAGCTTTCTGAAATCGTAAAGTACAGAAATTAGAATAAATGCTGTGGGGAAAGTATGTTCACAGAAATAGATATTGAGATGTGATTATTGGTTTAAGATGAGTACTTGAATTACAGGAATTTGGCAACTGGTACCTATGAGACAGCAGTGAGTGCTAATATTGGAAGGGATGCTTTGTTACTGTGAATGAGTAATGGCCAAATGGAACTATAGTGGAAGAATTAGGGGCAATTTGTGCATCCAGTATTGTGCAATTGATACATGATGAACAAATTTCAAATTTTGTTTGACTTTCATTCTTTGGATGTGTACACGTTTTTTGCAGGTCTAGCCTTTTCCAAGCAGGTATGGGGACACAAATCAGCAGTCCTAGCCTCTCTGTCATTGGTCAGGTTCAGCCAGCTTCCATTATCAATCATCCCTTACCACTGGTAGGTACCCTATTTATACATTTTATTATCTGACGTGATAAAGGACCATAGTTTCTTTCAGGGGTTGTTGCATGCAGGGCATGTGCTATTTCTCGCTTCAGTGAAATTAAGTTGTTGGCCCAAAACGTGCCTCGTGACTTTTTTGCAGCATATGCACTGCAAGTATGACCTTACACTCACACTTTTTAAGAATTGTCATTAGGGCACAAGTACTGAAGTTGGAGGTTTGGATACTGTGGATTAAGTTGAACAGTAATTTTTTATTAAATGTTAGTTTAAATTTTCACAAAGGAGTTCAAACTAAATCAGGTGAAATATGGAAGAGACAATCATTCCGGTGTTGTAAAAGAATCTGTTTATTTTATGTCACACTTATTCTAACATTTCAGAAGGGGAAAATTGTATGAGGACTTTGTATGTGAGTGAGTTGCTTTTCACATTTGATCAATACAAATTGCTTGGCGAAATATATATGTGCAGGTCAGAACTTCTATTATTTCACATGTTCTTCTGATTATTATTGAAATGTCAGAATTTGGTCTAATTTTATGTAAAAGTATGTTTATCTGGTTTCAAGTTCTTTGTTTCTGTGTTTCATGTATTTCTGCAAACTTTGATTATTTTGTGCCAAATTCAAGGGCCAAATAATTTTTTCATCTCCATCGCTTCCTGGTCATGCAATGACTTTTCAATCCATAGCAGTTATTTTGCACTGTCTGTATTGGTAGTGCATTGCACTTCAAAGGAACCTGGTTACATGACCAGTGGGTGGTTAGCAGATGCTCAGATGTGGTTTGCTTCTTCTTTCCTGCCTAACATCTATGGTCCTTTTATAAATCTGTCGTCCTTCTTTTTGTGTTTGTAACTCTTGTAACACCTCTAATCTTTGTCGCTTATAATATGATCTTATTGTCTTGCAAGTGCCATAAAATGCTCACTAAAACAAACGAACAGAGGCAGTGCCAATTAATTATTTTCGAAGTTTTAGGTCTCCTGTTGATGAATTAGGTTTGCTTTTCGTTTGTATGGAGAGAGAAACTGTCTTTGCTGTGGGTTTGTTCTCAAAAGTAGGCTAAAAATTTGTCACTTGCACAGTACAGCATATTCGGAATAGACACAAAAGAAAAAGTGATATTGTTTTAAATACCACATGATTTTTTTTTAGGGGAGGGAGGAATATTTGCCTGGCTTGAGAATTTTTATTTTTTTTGGGGGGTGGGGTGAGATTTTCACATTTTTGTTGTTTAGACCTGCGTTTCTGTCCATTTGTGGGTGGTTGGCGGGTGCTCTGGTGTTGTTTGCTCCTTTTTTCCTATCAAACATCTATAATCTTCCTTTTCTTTTTTTTTTTATGTTACTTTCTATTAACTCTTTTTATCCTAGCCGTACCCCCACGGACTCTTTACCAGTCCTGGGGCCGCTGCACCGTATGAGTTGGAAGTCAGTGCGTATAGTTCAAAGTGCTATATTTCTTACATTTACTCTAAGGTTTTAAGGAAATTTGGCAGTTATGTTAGAAATTGAATGTAGTTTTTGTAAATGTATGTGGTTAGGAATTACACCAATTGCACAATGTAGATTTTGTGATGTATTCCACCCTCCATCTTGACCCTGATTGCTGCGCCCACAACGACCCATTGGATTTTGTAGATCTAGCTCTAGACCTACAAATCGAGCACGAATTCCAGTACTAACCCCTTCACCATGATCTGAATCGCTATTAGATGAGTCTAAGTCCTGTTTCTAATCATCCACAACAGAATTTACGGCACTTATTTCAGAGTCACTTTCATCAAATTAGTAACATTCCCCCTCACAACCCAGTGCCACTTCAAAAAGTACTTCGTCGGTCATGAATGTGCGTTTTCAAGACATCTTTCAAGCTTCTACCCCCATCAAAAACAAAGTAACCACTGTTCAATACTGTTCATTGGAAAATTAAAATATTCAGACAGAGCTAGCATCGCCGTATTTGCGTATTTTTGTAATTACAAGCAGAACTAGCTTCTTTAACGTGACCGTATCGCTGTTCCGAGAATACTCGTAGCCCGGACTGGTCCTCGTTACGAGTATACTCGTAGCCCGGATAAAAAGCGTTATATCACTTCTTCGGCACGAATTTGACCGTATTGTGTTGCAAGTGCCGTAAACTCTTACTAAAACACTCTTGTCCATTTATTTGTATTCAGGTCTCCCAGTCAGCTGCGTTCACAACATCCTCTATGCAACAGTCTCAGGCACCAATCCCTGTCCAGGCTTTGGCAGACTCAACCACAAAACCAAAGAGAGTCCGCAATCGCAAGAAGAAGTCGGAGAGTAACCCTCCCCCAACCAGCCCCACAAACACCAAGAAATCCAGCGTTATGTCCATGAATCCCAACTCTGCCCACAACAACCAACAGTTGCCACAGCATCATCAACAACATCAGTCTTCTCACATTTTAAACATGCCAGCTACCTCTCTCGCCAATATTTCCTCTTTGCCGCTGAACACTGCCCAGCTCAATCAAAACAGCCAGCAGATGCAGCCGCAGCAACAGCAGACTTTTAGGACAATTGCTGGCACCAACCAGTATAGCTCTAGGGAGGCTCAGAGAGCTCACACACCCTCAGTGCAGCAAAACTTTTCTGCTCAGGAGGACCAAGGTCATGGGTACAATCCTATACCCAGTCCAAAGCCCCCTGGGGGAACAAACCAGAACGTGATGAGGTCTCAGAGAGACTTTGCCCTGCCAGGAAGGGTTCCCAGTGAGAAATCCTCTAACTACAAACAGCACCAAAGGAAGCCAAGTGGTGACTCGTCTTCTGACCCAAGCAATGCCCAGAGCAATCAGTTGTACAGGTCCAACATTCCAGAGAATCAACAACAACAGCAGCACATTCAAAACTACAGAGCTGGTTTGATGGGAAATGGTGGCCAAAGGGGTTCTCCCATGCCGTTGGACAATCGTGGAAGTGGTGGGGGAGGGAGAATTTACTCAGAACATTCAGCCCAGCAGAAGCTCTCCACCCAGCTGTCGCCACTGGGACAACCATCGCCCCAAGGAAGTGTGGCTAGTGACTCGTTCAACAACAAAATGCCTAGCGCTGCCACCAGCCAGATGATGAACCCAGGCATGTGTCAATCACCAATGAACTCTCGTCCTGTGAGTGTAGAGCCGACTGCAGTCATGTCCCATGGTGGTTACAATAACAGTCAACAGCAGACTCTTCAAGAGAATCAGGACAATGGTCAGTTTCAAATAGACTTTGGGGGTCCCCCTTTCTTGGAGCAGCTGGTGACACCCATGGCTGTGCCGGCCACCAGCTACGCCCACACTACTGCTGAGAGTGGGGAAGTTGTGTTCACCACGCTGGTCACACCTGCTGAAAGTGCACGTCTGCAGCAGCAGCAGCAAACGCCTCTACCACCACCACCCCAGACCTCGGCTGAGAGTGATGCCAGCTTCAGGCCGACCTACCGAGGAGAGACAGTGCATGAGATTCGTCCCATCGGACCACTGGGAGGGCCTGTGCCCATAGATGATGTCTCCTTCAGTTCTTTCTTCGCAAATCAGGGTCAGGGGGTTGTACCAATCCAACAACAGCAACACCAACAACCAGTCAGTCAGCCACAGGAGGAAGTCAGAAGGAACCTGACTTATGTGCCTCACATCAGCGAAGATGATGAGTTGGGCCATTTCAACACCTCGTCCATGGCGGAACCAGTGCCTATGATTAAGAAAGAGGTGACTGAGCCAGCTGCTCAGAGAAAGTTTCACCGAGACTCTTTCCAGGACTCGTTTCTGAACTACCTCCAGGGTCACAAGCAAGAGACCCTGTCCAGCGTGTCCACGGCTGCTGTTACAAAAAAGCCTATGTTGCCTAAATATATCCCTGAGCCTCGGAGGCCACGCCCCCCTCCACCTCCACCAAAAGAAACAATCACCTTCTCTGACTTTGAAGAAGGTCACGGCCATGCCAGCCTCAAGGGGAAGGACCTTCTGTCCAGTTTAAGTGACAATGACAATTCTTCTCAAAAGAGTGAGAGCGATAAAGAAGGTTACTCGGTTCAGAGAACTAGTGAACTTGCTGTGAAAATAACCTTACCTAAGAATAAGAAAAAAAATAAGTTTGGACCCTTTGCTGAAAATAGCCTTCTAAAGGAGAGCATGAGGAAAAACAAAGAGGCAGCTAGATTTAAAAGTAAGAAGAAAAAAGGCAAGTACAGAGAGGACTCTGATGGCGAAGAGTATGCACCAGGGGATATGTCAGAGGAGGAGATCATTTTACAGGAGGAGCCAGTAATCAGAGAACCCACACCTCCGCCAGTGAGAACCTCCATTGGTAGAAAGGCGAAAGAGAAGAGCATGGAGAAAACCAAGAAGAGAAGTGAGTATTGTTTTTTTAAATTACCTTTTACTATTCTCTTTACTGAGATGGATATTCAATCAAACAGTGAAACGGCCACCCATTGTTAAGGAGAAAAGTGGCATATATAACACATGTGACCATCTTAGGCAGGACTGGTTAAAATGAAGAAAGCAAAATCATTCTCTTCTGTGGTCTATTCGGGGCTGATTTCAGGCTTAGGGCTGTTGTAGGGCTAATTCAAAAGGGTTCTTGTTTGCTTTTGAAAAATGGAGGGGGGTGGGTGTACTATGTTGTTTTTTTATGCTGTTTTGTTTGTTTTTTAGTTAGCTTTTTTTTTTTCTCTCTTTTTTTTTTTTTTTTTTTTTTTTTTTTGTGCAAGGATGAAATAAATGAATGTCAGATGATGAAGACAGAGTGCCATGGTAAAACAAACACATGGGTCGTCACCACTTGGAGAATGAACGACGCTTCCCCCTCAAGTTCACGTCAACGTCCATTGTTACTTTGTTAGAGATTAAGTCAATAAAAAAGTGGCCAGACACCTCTCATACGATTTGTGCATGAATTGTGGGCGGGGGTTATAGGTTATGACGGATCACAGGCTCTCAAAAAAGCTACGTTTCCCTGATCTTTCCCTGTTACCCATTTGTTTAGGTTCCCTGAGTGGGTTGCTTTGGGCTTACCCCTGCCTCGTTTGCCTTCAGTTTTGCCAGTGAGAGCTAGATGTTCAAGACCCTTATTGAGGTGTCCCAAAAACTGCATTTGTTGTTTCCTGATTGTTTTTAACATTGAGCGTCCCACGTGGGCTTCATCAAGCACTACCTCAATTGATTTCTTTTCCTTCAACGATACTCTTAGTAGTCTCCTAAGAAACCACAGTTCTGTTGCTTCTATTTTATTTTCACTGTCTCTTGTGATTGTCCAGCATTCACAACCATATAGAAGGGTTGACCATACATAGCATTTCAGAGCTTTCATTTTGGTGGTCATTTCTCTTTTTCAGGATTGGGCTCATTTTATTGAAACTAGCCTTAGCCATTGTTTTATTTCTGTGGAACATTTGGCATCAGATGTTATCATATATCCTAGGTATTTAAACTGTTGGACTTGTTTGATCTTTTAACCTTTGCTAATGAGATTACAAATAGGATTTGCTGCTTTTTTTGGATATTACCATGCATTCTGTTTTCTTTACATTCAACACTATTCCTTTACGTTCACTTTCTGTTACAACAGTATCTAGAAGCAATTGAAGGTCCTTTTCTGAGCCCACTATTAAAACTGTGTCACCTGCGTACCTGGTGTTATTAATATTTTCTCTATTTGCTTTGAGACCTGGACATTCTTTTATGTTTCCAAGGATTATTTCACTGTAGATGTTAAAGAGGTCTGGTGACACACACATCTTTGCCTCACTTCTCTCCTAATCTGCTTATATTCACTGTATTCTCCATTAATTCGTACAGCAGCGTATTGGTCCCAGTACAAATTCCTGATAATTTTTTTATCTTTTCCATCTATCTAGCTTTTCCAGTATTTTAAATTGCTCATCATGTCTAACTTTATCGATCGCCTTTGAATAATCTATGAGAAGCATAAATACAGACCTTTCTGTGCTTCAATACATCTTTCCATTAACATTGTTACGATGAATACAGCATTTCTGGTGCTCTTGCTTGTCAGGAACAAAGCCGAATTGCATTTTAGATATCTCTGGTCTTACACTTTTTCTCAATCTTCCCATTATTACTCGCAGCAATATTTTTGTAAAATGACTCATAAGGCTAATTGTTCTCTGCATATCACGCTCAGTGGCACCTGGTGTTTTAGGTAAAGCTTTAAAAACTGACTTCATCATATCTTCTGGGATCTCACCGCTGTCATAGATAGCATTTAGAAGCTTTGTTGTTATTTCAGTGCCTAGTTCTTCAAGCGCAACAATCACTTCAACTGGAATATTATCTGGCCCTGTGGCTTTTCCTTGTTTCATTTTCCTAATGGCAGCTTGTACTTCTGCTTTCAGTTTTCCATATCTAAAGGCTAAAGGCGTCATATATGAAGAAGAGGTTAAGATATACGACTATAAAGTAGTTTAAGGAGTTTAACTTGCCAGAATTAAATTGTTTTTGTTTTTTTTAAGGAATTTGATGCAAAATGTAGAAAAGAGTCATAGTCTGACAGTGTAAGAATAGAATCAGACCTAGATATCAACGGAAAAAATTAATAGGCTTCGCAGAATTTAATTGCTTACAAATATTTTGTTCTCGGTTATATGTTGATGAAGTCCATCATTGAGAGAACCCAGTATGCAGCAGAAAATGTTTTACAGTTGTCAACTTTTCCCACCCATCCTCTCAATCTGTTTTCATAAGACTTTTCCATGTGACTTCCTTTATTTGGTGCTTTTCTGTCTGTTGTCTTTGTAAAATTTTGAAGCTGTCAGGGTGGAAATGGCAATTGTAGTCCACATACTGTGCTGACAGTCTCTTTGCTTTTAAGCTGTCAGTGTGGATATTGAAAACAGGATTTAAAAGGGTTACAGTTCAGATTTTTATGGAAGTTATCATGGGTTGATGAAAGTGTAGGTATGCATTTTTGTTTTTTCCCCCTCCCATACAGTTGGTTATTGGCTCCTCTGTTGTGGTCTGCTCCGTATACTTCTTTTCAGTGTAATTGTTGTCATCAGTTTGTTCGTGGTGAAATGTGGCCATCCTCATGTAGAGACAACGTGAAAGTATCTACGACTGTACCCGGTTCTCTTTTATTTTGCAGAAAAACACACAGAGTCAGGAAGCAGCGAGGATGAAGCAGCAGTAGCGTTTGCAGTTAAAGGCTACAAGAGTGATGACTCGGACAAAGACTACGACTCGGATAAGGATCCAGTGTGGATGCCGTTTGAAGTGGTATGTCTTGATTACCCTTTCTGTGCTTCAGTATAATTATGTATGTGAATTGTTTTTACCAAATGTAGAACTTGTAGCGCATCATGAATACTGACATGTCAAATATTGTGGTCCAACAGGTCTCGTTATACTTTTAGTAATATAGTACAGAATGCCTGAGATTGTATTGGTGGCAGATTAATTTGATAAATTATGATAAGTTAGTTGAGCTAAGTTTTCATTTAGAAAGCCTAAATGTCTAGTGTGCATCAAGAGTCGAAAGGCTTAAATAGGTTTTGTATGATTGTTTTGATGTGAAACTTTCAGTTTGAAGTGTAGGTCAGAATTAAATATTTTGAAATTGATGTGATTCATGCATTATAAAGGCCCAATTACACATGCAGTTCGTTCATTGACAAACTGACAGTTTAACCTACAGACCCTAGATCTGGGGCATTCGTTAAACTGACCTTTGTTGACGAGAAGTTCTGTTTAGACATACAGTTTTTCATCCTTAAAGTGTCAATCTCACAAAAAGAATTTGACTTGGTAATCCAGTGTTACATTGTGTTCCCCATGTGATTTTTACTAATTTTGGGTAGCTGATCACAAAAATCTGATCATTTTTAAAATTTGGCCAATATTTAGGAACATTTTGGAACATTTTTTCAACTCCACCTTTGGGCAAAGAAGCCGCTCCCTTGTCGTCATGCCTTCAGTTCGCCTGCCGGCAAATATCTGGTGGCTGTACTGAGTACCCTTCGATATCGAGAAGATTGCTCGTTTCCATGCTCAGTTTTACCAGGAAGTTGACAGGATGCCCGCCATTCTTTCGATATCGTACAGTGTGTCGATCAATGAACTACATGTAAATGGGGCTTAAGAAAAATTGTTTTCTTGTGTAGATATTTATTAATATGAAGGAAAGATTATGAATGCATTTTCAAAACTGATGCTTTATATCAGGTCTGTCAACTGGTTGTTTTTGGGGGGGGGGGGGGGGGTTTGGGGGAGAGGTTGTGTCTTCCATTGCCATGTAAGCATTGATGACTTTATCTTTGGTTTTTCAGGACTTGAAACAAGGGCATGATTATGAGGAGAAAAGGAAAAAGTCAAAGTGAGTCACTTTTTTTATTTCACGTATTTGGATTTGTTGTTTAAGGTAAATTACCTCAAGACCCATATTTTGATAACCATAAGGTTGGAAAAGTTAACCAAAGCACATAAGGGACACATGATATTAGTTAGGAAGAAAAAGAAATTGTGGTCAAGAGATGAGGAATTTGTTAAGTTACCGGTTGCATATTTTCTTTCCCTGCGTCTACATTGTAAACCTTGAAATAGCTGGTACATTAGTTTTTGAAAAGGTTGGTGTTAATCCACTTCTTTATGCCTGATTGATTGTACTGGCTAAAGGTTTAGGTGTAAGTTTTTTAAAATAAATCTGAATGTTTACATCCTTCTTTTAAAATGCTTAGTCCTAAACTGTTGATGACTTTGTTTCTTCATCATGCCTTGGGAATGACTTACAATGTGCTTAGCATCACATGAGTTGGAAGACCTCATTCCCATGGTTTGCAGATAATACTTTAATGTAGGAAGTCCTTTTTTCAATTACAAGTCCGCACTGGACTATCTTCACTATGAATTTTAATTTGCAACATTCAGATTCAGGTGATTTCTCAATGGTTTCATTCTCCTACCACAGGAAACCTCGGCTGCGTTTACCCAGCAACAAAAGCATCCGCACGTTGCCGCACAAAACTGCAGTAGCCCCTGTTGGTCCTGTAGGTGTTGCGAGTGCTGCCAGAAAAATGCTGGTCAGCACAGCGACACCTGCTGCTGGTCACTCCAAGGATGGAGGGTTCAAGGTGAGATGGGCGTTTCTTGTCCTTGTTGTCTTGTGAAAGAAGATACAGTGATTCAGGACCATTCTTTATCAAAGTTCTGTAGGAAAGCACATCTTGGTGAATCGTGACTCTTGAACAACATTGGTGTATGTACCAATTTTGAACACTGAATATAATCTTCTAGTTACTGGCCTCTTTTTGGTTGATTGTAAATGTTGTACACCCCAATTGATCAAAGGGAGGCGACTGGCTTTTTTTATCTACCTGTCAGTGTCAGCCCACGCAGTGTGATATTTAATAGAATATCTTTCATGTATTAAGCCACAAGTATTGGCATCTACTCATTTAATCATAAAAATCAGTGTAATCAAGGTGGCGGTGTCATTGTAATGTATGTTGCTACAAACACAAGCTAGAAGTTAACATTTGACTGTGGTGCAATTGACAATACATTGCATAATGGCATTACCCCACTGATGTGTCTCTTGTGTTTGTTCCCAGATTGGTCAGTACATCATTGAGAAGAAAGATCAGCAGAACTATGAGTCGTATCCAATTTGGAGAATAGAGCAAGGCAATATGATCCGCAAGTTTGAGCTGAGAGTGGAAGATGGTGTCATCCGACATTGTGCTGTTGGCACGGTAAGGCTTTGAAAGAAAACTAACTTTTGTTTTGTACTTATGTATCTGGATAATAAGCAGTAGTGCTTCCATGTCGTCGGGCTCATAAGATAATTGCCTACGTCATTTTTTACCGATTTGGAGTTTTTGGTTCTGAAATAAAGAGCAGCCAACTTGTTAATATTATTCACTTGGACTAAAGAACAATCCAATTATAGAATCAGTTGAGTGTACCAAAATTCAAGCGTTTCACAGAGTCAGTTGTTCGAAAGAAACAGTATTTTCTCATTTTCTCAAATGGCTAAAAATGACTCTTGCATTTGTCTTATGTTCTTATGAGCTTGACAATGTGTTTAACTCTTTATATAGCAATGCTAATCGGGCTTCCGCACTCAGCCAAAATTTGGTCCCTGTTTGCGGGTAAATTTTTGGACCGGGTCGGAATAATAGTGACTAACTTTCTCAAGCTCGGTCTGCGCTATTTCTGGACCTATGTGAATGAAACTTGGCAACTAATCAGAAAATAGGACAACCTAATCATATGTGGAAGTCAAAGTTTGTACTCATAAATTAACCTATACTTTTAGTGTTGGAAACACTTTCGTATCGGGTACTTGGCTCTCTAGCACTCCAATTAATTACTGAGATATTGTCGATTTTCTTACTGCATCAGCTACTGCGTGGTCTACTTTTAGGAGTATTTTCCTTTATGTGGGTCATCCATATTTTGCCGACCTTTACAACCCCATAACTTTTTTATTTACGAACTAATTCTTAAAATTCAAAAAGCATAATTCTTAGAATTGAATACTCTTTCTTATGTACCAAACAAAAAAAGGATAAAGCTAAATATTAAATTTTCATTTGCATTGCTACTTTATCTCCGTGGGGGGTAAACCCACAATGCCGGGCCCCTTCTTTGGTACTAAATCTAAAATTAAAAATAACAAAAACGTCATTAAATGGGTCATTAAACAAAACAAGTGAACCTATTTTGATATTTCTTCATCTAATGAATGAACTCCCGATAAAATGTGCCCGAGCAGCTGTCCGTGGCTCACCGGCACAGGGGTACCGACCTCAAGCCACTGGGAGCAGCTTGCTGGAGATAAAGAGTTAATGCAGCAGGAATCTTTTTTTTTTTCTCCCTGAATTTAGCCATGACATGGAATGACTAGTGGAAATAAATTTTGCTATTCAAATGGCTTTTTAATGGCTGCATTGATCGACATGAGGTTTTCGCCAAAAGATCCTTTAAAATATGCTCCAGATCATGACACCCTTCGTTTATTCAGTTTTGAGACAGTTTTTTCTCAAAAAGCTAAATTTCTTTATTTCGCCGATCGCTTTTGTAGACCAACACTTCTGTCTCTGCAATTTTAGAAAATCCGCCAGGTTTGTTTATTTCAAGTTGTACTTCCGTTCGATATTGTCGCGCAATACTGAGCACTATTTTTTAAAGTGTGCGACCCGTATAGATCTAGCCTCTTGTTTTCTTTTTTTACTTGGTGCTAAATTCAACTGTAATCCTTTCGTTTGGTGCCCATCATCGCTTTTTCTGGACTCCTTTGTCTATTATATATTTGGCAACTTGGAAACACATGTGTCACTTTTTTCTCAAGATGTATTGCTCCATTCCAGTAGAGTGTAAATATAGTAGGCCAATGACTTTCAGTTACTGTTAACCGATCATTCTTTTCATCGAAAGGGGGCTGAGCTTGCAGGGGCGTGGCGTCACTTTCAGAGAAGGTAGCGCAAAGAACAAATTTATGCACAACGAATAGTATTGCCTACTTAATACAGTCCTATGAACTGTAGACCTAGTATATACGCCTCTTCGTTTAATTTTAATACAGATATAGGGACACCTACCTCCATGCGAGAAGAATAGATAAGTGCCGGTACAATCTTTTATATATAGAGAGAACTGATGATAAAGAACCAAGTTCGGCGCTCAAGATACGCACAATCACATCACATCATAATTGTTCACACACAAAACAATATCTTCCCACGGATCAACAGAAAAGCACACATTCACAGTCAAGAACAAGCATGCACTATTGCCCTCGGGGCGACTTGACATAATGACCCCATTCCCTGATTCATTTGCAATTCTGGTTTCTAGAAAGCAGACAATAAAACCTATTGTTAGACAGTTCGCAACCATGCCATTTCCAGGTAAACTACCACTCCATTCCCACCCACCCCCCACCCCCATACAGGCGCCAAATCCATCTCGGCCCTTTGGCCCAACAGTACAATCTCTTTGTGTGATGGGAGTACCTGTTGTAGCATTTTTGGTTCTGGGTGATTTCTCTTGTGTCTTCCGTCAAACGTGTGGATGGGGTGTTAAAGAAACTTTTTTGCTATTCTTGGAAAGAAAACCCTGTTTTCAACTGATTGAATCAAATAGTTTATAGATCATTTTGAATTATTTTGACCTGACTTCACACCTAAACAATGAACACCAAAATGGGTTCTGGCAGAGACAGCGGTTCAGGTAGCGCAGATCTGGGCTCGGCACCCTCGGTGACGTCAGACGTAGTAAACGAAAGACGCGGGGAGACCATTGCGACCGGCAACGGGAGGCTTATCCGCCCTCCTCCCACTAGCCGAATTATAGACACCTTAACTAAAGACCGGCATACTTAGGGATGAACACTGAATAAGAGATTTGTTTGAAGAAAATATTGTGATATTTAGTTAAGTTTTGGAAAATCGTATTCCCTTTTTTGAAAATCCTTCTCCATTTCAAAGGGTGGCGCCATGGGGCCATTTGCGCTTGGAGAGCCACGCCACTGTCAGCTTGTAATATTATAACTACAATGTAGTTACTCCTTTTGCTGATTCAGATAATCAAGAACTTAGTTTTCTTTAGTGCAATAACTTAGTGTCAAAAAAGTTTCTTTACAATGCAACAGCTTTACAAATTTGAACTTTTTGATTAGACAGTCACAAGTTTATTGTAAAAAGTAACATTGCTCCCAAATCAACAGTTGCTGTATTCTTTGCTTTTCTGAATTGTAGTTCTCCACGTGGATGAAGTCGATGGAGAACCAGTTTGAAGCCATCCAGGTGAAGGAACTTGCGGGCAAGAACAAGTCAGAGTTGATGGTGGTAGAGGTCATGGAGGAGAGTCGGCCCAAGCCCCCAAGTGATGGCAGGTATGACTGGTGGCTGTGTATACTTGACGGTGTTCCCAGATAGTTCAGATGTACACCCATTCCCAAATACATACCCCTTTCCCGAAATTGTATACTTGCCAGTGTGATTGAGGGCAACCCTTTACTTGCCAGTATTGGGAGACATTTGGTGTCTGTATCAGCCTAGTGACTAAAGGGCAATTAAAGTGGCTGAGTGGGTGGTTGGCAGGTGCTCTTGTGTGGTTTGCTCCTTCTTTCCCATCAAACTTCTTTCGACTTTGTCTCTCCTCCTTTTTTTGTGTTTGTAACTCCCTTGTAACACCTTTAATCTTCGGCACTTATATGACCTTATTATGTTGCAATTGCGGAAAAACTCTTACTAAAACTAAACTAAAAGTGGCTGAATTAGGGCCGTAGATTATTTTTTTTCTCTAAAAATTGAAATTCTGACTGCACAGACACATGCTTCAACAAAATTAATTTTCCAGTTTGTTAGAACAACCACTGTTAGGTTTGGTCTCTTGTTCTTCCCTCTCTCTCTCACACACACGCGCGCGCGCACACCTACACCCTAAAAAAGAAAAAAGGGTGGGAGGGAAAAGATCTATAGTTGCTTTGGTGGAGGTTGGGGGTTTGGAGGGTTTCTGTAGTGTGTTATTTGTTCAAATCAGCTTTAACAGTGGAAAGATGTTTTAAAAAATCAGCCATGAATACATTAAATTCGTTATTTTCCTTTTCACAGACTTGAAACGCGGTATGAAGATAACCCGTTGGTTGACACTTTCAACATCTACCTACAAGTTTTCCTCAGTCAAGCCCTGGAGCCAAGTTTTCTTAAAGCAATTATTGAAACAGATGGTGAGGAACATTCCTTTTTTTCTTGTAAAGAATTTCATTATTTTGATTTAAAATCAAATTTTGAATGAGTAACCCTCTATGCACTCTCAGTTTAATTTTTAAATCTAAATCTTTGTCCCTATTGTGCGTAAGCTGTTTATCATTTTGTACGTGAGACATAGAAAAGATGATGGTTAATTTGAGTAATTTGTTGGGGGTGGGGGGGGGGTTGTTGTTGGGTTTTTTTTATTTGATTGTTATGTATTGAATTTATTAAATGTATTGTTGATGTCTTCAAGAAGGCCATCTGAATTCCTGAGAGAGGAAAGTGCTCTAGGTTGAACTACTTGATAGTCAGTAAGTTTTTTAAGTAACAGAATCTTCGCAGGAGGATTTATGTATACAGACGGCAAAGAAGGAAATTTCTCATCTTGTTTTAAGGAACCCATGGTGGTGCTGCTCAAAAAAAAATGTTTGTGTTTCTAGAAAAGATGGCAAAGTGATGTTAATGGAAAATTGTCATATATGAGATATTTTACGTGTTGAGCCTGTATGTGTGAGGTAATAGTTTTCTTGAAGTCATTATACTTATTCTTCCCTTACGCTCCCTTGCCCTTTTCTCTGTTTTACAGAAAAATTCTATGTGGATGCTTTGAATCAAATTGACCGTTTGATTGGTGTCAAATGTCAGGAAATAACAAAGATTACACAGTGGAAGAAATCTTTTCAGGTAACATACCAATAAGCCTTCAATTTTAAATTATTGCATTGTTAATGATAGTAATAATTTAATAGTGTGCAGGTACATTGTCACAATTATTGTGCTCACTTCTACTCAAAGCTTGGCTCCATGTGCTTTAAATATTATTACTATCATAACAGGGGCTATTACTTTCCAAAACTTTTCTAGCTTCCTGGGAATCATTCCGTGTGTGCCACCATTTTACAGGTGCTCACACTTCAATATACGATGTCTTTCATTGTCTTAGCCAGGTACCTCTTCCCACCTGTTGTGATACATTTATTGAGTAGCGGTTAGGTGCTGGGGTTTTTCCCCTCTTCAATTTGTATGTGTCACTACGCGGTGGAATCAAGAGCTCATCAATTTTTTGGCACATGGAGTTATTGGTTTCATCGTACAGCGTGTCCATTTGCCTTGCTTTTGATGAAAACAATACCCATTTGTCTTGGATACAAGTTAAAATATTTGCGATTGAAGGTGGGGTCGCCTGGTTTCAGAGGTAAAATTAGCGAGAAAATGGCTGCCAAAGTTAAGTTATTTTTCTTTAGCTTGAGAGCCTGTGGAAACTGAAAATTTACATCTTTTATGCTTTTAATCAATGTTTTTTCAGTAAAATCCACACTGAAATGTGTTTTTAATGGGCATAAAAAGTGTTGAGCCAAAAAGCAAAAATTCGATAAAAATTCCCAAACCTACAGACAAACACCTAATTTCATGTGGCTGCTTCACATATATGTACTCTTGAGTGCCTCATTCTGCAGTGAGTCGGATTATATTTTTATCGAGTACAACTCGTAGAGAGACTTGAATTTTGTCCAACTTGTAGCAGTCAGGATTGCTGAAATAATGTCAAGAGACCTTGACCAGAGAGTTGATCGGGCAAGGTTTTTAAGCTGTAGGTAGTTTACTAAGTTTTACCTGTACATCTTATTTTCTCCATTGCATGTTATTATTTACTCTTTTTTTTTTTTTTCACTTCTGTTAGGATTGTCTTCATAGAAGCCCACTCATGAAGGAGATTGACCGACCAAATCTGAAACAGCCTTGTCAGGTAAGGTTTACCTTTCGTTTGCTCAAGAACTATGGTCACTTTTAAAGAAACGTGTTTCGAAAGCAGATATAGTCTTTATTTTGTTTAAAGAAAAACGGTTTTAACCTCTTAGCACTTGGAATCAGTACCTTGATTTTTTAGTCCTGTTGCATGAATCTTTTGTGGAAGCATTCGGCATCAATTATACATTCTAAATGATTTCACTGATATTTGTAATTGTGCCTTGACACAGAGCTGTAAGAAACTTGGCGAGACAAATCTCGAGAAAATTGTTCATGGTGTATGCCCTTTGAATTGTGATGATTGATTTCTGTCAATTGTTGGTTCCTCATTTACATTTTCCTAATCGAAGAGGTCACTGGTCACCTTCTCTGTACCACTGTGAGTGCTCTCACACTTTCAGGGGTCAATTCTCATCTGGTTCTGGGCCTTGTAGCAAGAGAGGCTGATCTGCAATGGGGATGAATTCATTGTTGGCAGATTTCAAGTTCATGTGTGTGCCCATATTTGGATCGTTACATTTTTATTTATTATTTTAATGCTTTTCCCCCGACAGGCTTGTGAAAACTCCAGTCCACCAACCATCAAGTCTGTGCTTTTGAGTGGACACCCATACGACAGATTCCTTCTCACGCCTATTGGTGGAGGGTCTGACATTGCTCAGGTACGGACATTATTTTAAGAAGGACCGCTTGAGGTTCCAACAAACCATGCTTGTCTTCTTGGGGGGGGGGGGGGGGGGGGGCATAAAAACGAACAGCTGCTAATTGTAAGACTCTGCCCTACACTGTTTTGAAAAGTGACATGTAACACAATCTTACCCTGAACAGTTGAAATGCCATGGGACATAATGGTTCTCTTTGGATTTCCCTGGATGGACTGTCGTGCATAAATATTTAGGACAGCATTTTTTTAGAGTAATTACAGAGGGGCTTCTCACTCGGAGAAGTGTAAGTTTTTTTATTTCTCTGATTCTGTGGTATGTAAGACTGACTTCAGATGTTTGTTTTTCTTTTCTTTGCAGGAATTTATGATTGGAAAAACTGCCGCCCATTATGTTCGTCCTTACCATACGTTGTACCACTACAAGTACTGGTTGCGACGGCGCTGTGATACTAAGGTGAGTGGGTTGAATTGTTTGTGGTTCATCTGCCAGTAGTCTATGTGTTAAACAAGTCCACATGATGATTGTAGTGTCGGTAATTTGTTGGAAATACAGTCAAACCTGCCCTGACGGCCACCTGTACAAACGGCCACTTTCCATTTCCCCCCTTTCGTTTTTTCTATATAATTTGAGTAAAACGGGCACCTGTCCGCCGCGGCCACCATATATTAAAACACAACCCCTATCACACTAAGCAATAACACCTGTCTTTAGACGGCCACCTTAGTGACTCCATTACTTTTTGTCATAAATTGTGCATTGGCCTCCGGGTTGTGGGCAAGCGGTTCTTATTCAATAACCTGTCGTTATTGTTAGGTAGCCCCTCCAACCGATCATGTTGCGTAGGCCCCTCCCACTGTTGACCAATAGGTAGGAAACAAATTTTCAGCTGCTAGTGCGGGAAGCGTGTGATCCCTCATAACCCATAAGCCCCGCCCAGAACTCATAAACAAATCGTAAGTGAGATTAGTGGTCACTGTTTACCCTGTCTAACAAAGTAACAAAGGACGTCAATATGAACTTGTGACTGAAGCGTCGCTCGTTCTCCGAGTGGTGACGACCCATGTGTTTGTTTTAACATGGCACTCGGTCTTCCTCGTCTGGTACATTTAGTTTTATTGTCAGCCTTGTCTAAAATCAGCAGCAAAATAAAGATTACGAACAAAATACAAACCAACAAACAACAACAACAAACAACAACCACAAAAACAGCAACAATGTGGCTACTTTCGATTGGGACCTCAGATGGGAATGGTTTATTTTCTTCTCCTTGACCAGTCCTGCTTAAGACGGCCACCTGTCTTATATGGCCACTTTTTTCCTTGACATTGGGTGGCCGTCTTACACAGGTTTGACTGTAAATGAATCTACACCATTGAAATTGTCCAAAATGGCCACCCATGTCGAGGAAAAAAGTGGGAAATGCTGGTAGGTACAGTTGGTTGTCTTTGACAGGTGGCCGTACACACACATACACACACACGCACAAACACACGCGCGCGCAAACCTATTCTAACGGCCACTTGTCAAAGACAATCACCTTTACAAACAAGTACTTCCCACTTATCTCCTCGACATGGGTGGCCATTTTGGACAATTTCAATGGTGTGGATTCATTTATTTATTGGCTCACTGAGCCGTGATCCCAAACATAGACGAGATGACATTTTCGTATTTTTTCCAAGTCAGCGATCCAATAATACAATGTAATTCTTGCATGGAGCTTTAGTTAAATCATATTCCTTACCAGAAATAAAGATTTCCAAAATACAGAAATATTTTAGATGAAAACTTTCACTTTGGTGACCAACTAGAGGCCTAGAGATCCGATGACGTCTTTTCTCATTGCTTATTGCCATTTAAAAAATACTAGATCTTGGTATGTTTGAGAACTTTGCCAGCCAGTATCATAATAATTATAGAAAATATAGATATCTAGATAGTCCTCATATTTTTGTGTTACTGTAATTTATTTTTGGTGTTGTTTTTTGTCTCGTTCAGTGAGCGGAAATATTTTTAAAATTTGTCGGAAAAGTTTTAAAGATAAGTTTAAAATGTTTAAATAGGAGAAATACATCATTATCTCTGCCAAAAATGAAGCCACTAGCTCAATATTTACATTCCTGAAAATTATTTGAAATATTGCAAAAAATGGCCATTTCAGGGGTTGAAGCCTCAGCTAGTTTCCTTGGGAAAGGCGCTTTTAAAAAGTTGGCCATTTTGATGGGCATTATTGGGGATGGATGTTAAATTTGGAGGTCCTTAACTCACAGACTACTGGGCCCTTTCACCAGTCACTAGCGCTGAATACTGGCTCTTTGGAGGGGGGGTGGGGGGGTATTTCAAAACACTATCGCAACTCTCAGAATCACCATATCTGTCATGACGCTGTGGAATCAGGCGCTCGTCAATTTTTGAGCATTTAGAGTTATTGAAAGCTTATTGATTTGCTTTGCTTTCAGTGAAAAAAATACCAATCTATCTTCAGTGCTTCCACTCTTACATATTTTTACGGAAATCCGTACTTTCTGCCAGTTCCGTATTTGTTCCTCCTTCATTGTGGACTCCCTCCGTAAAAAAAACTGCGACAGCGTAGGACTAGATATCTACTGAAATTGCGTAGCAAAAGATCCGTACTCGCCTTCGTATCGTCTTGTATAAGCTACGGATATTTACAGTGATTCTCTCGACAATAAGTTAATGTTATAGAGACCTGCCAGATTATGCATTTCCTGCAATCAGCCATTATTCCGCTATGCCCCATGTGTTCATTGCAGGTTGGTCGGCAGTACATTGTTATCTGCAGATTGATCAAAATCTGGCAAACTTTTTGTGCCAATTTCCTCCTTTTTATCATACACTCATTCCGCCTATCTTCGGACTGTTACCGCGGCTGGAAAATATGCGCATTGATCAAGGAAATTGACTTTTGATCTTAGACAGAAAATTACTGTTAGAAAGAAACTTGTTTGCAAATTTATTGTTTAGATCTAGAGAAATTATTAATGCGAAGATTCTACGGAACGGGAACGTGATAAGGGCCGCGATGAAATTATGCTATAACTACTAAAATCAAGAATAATTCGAAGAGGTGTTCCGAAGTTGTGACATGCAACATTCAGAAGTGAAAATTGTGGAAAATTAGGGTAGCCTACGCTGGGTAACTATTGTGAAGGTGCACATATCTATTCATTATTCCCAGGTTTGCCTTCTTTCATTCGTGCGATGACAAATTAATTGAATTATAGTAGCAATGGAAGGGGAACCTGCTTTTAAACATTGCCTGCAATGGAAAGATATGTAGGTGAAAAAAATCAAACATGACAAAATGTTGGCAAACAAATAAATGTTTTGCATTGTAGGCAATCTCTTCAAACAGGCTCTCAAATGCCATTTTTAACCCTCTAAAAGCACTAAATTTCAATTTCTTCTGGGGTTTCGCCCCCTGAACCCTGACCGGAATGCTGTCCCTGGACCCCGGCAGAATTTTCCTTACTTTTCAGCTTCAGCTGGTGGAAGCACTGTATCTTGAATAGAAGTCAAGATATTTACAATTGAAGGTGGTGAGGTCACTTGATTTCAATGGTGAAATTTGCTAGAAAATGTCCGCCAAAGTTTGGTGACTACAATAGCTAAAGAGTCCTTGAAAACAGAAAAATGACATATTTTGTGCCTCGAATCAATGTTTTTCAGTAAAATTCACATGTTTTTGTATAGAAGTTAAAAAACAAAAAATCATTTTAAAAATGCCAAACTGGCAGAAAAATGCCTGTTTATCCAGTTTCGTTATTTTGACGAGCACCTGATTTCACCACGATGCCTCACATATAGTAATGATTTTTTTACATAGTTAAGTTATATTCAAGTTTAATCCAATACAACAAACAAAAGTCTTAATCTAATGCTTTATTTTTTGGATTTTTAAAAAATTAGCTTGAATTTGACTTTCCGAAAAAAAAATTCAGAGACATGACAGATAGAATGAAATTCACAACAATAACAATAATAAAAGTTCAAAATGTTCTTTTTTATTTGTATGGACGTATGAGTGTTTGGTGAAGATATAAAAGCTGGGCTGTGCATTGATGCAGACCCATACACTGAATTACATGAGACAGTTGTAGGGCACGAAGTTTTGATTTCATTGCACTAATAACAACACCACTACTAGTGCTAGATCTTGCCCTAAAACTACGACTTGGGCCATGTTCTGGTACATATCCAGGGTCCTAACTATCAGACACATCATATTCTGAGTCACTAAAAATAGTAAAATGAACAGAAACATCGAAAACAACAAAGAAAATAGGTGATTCGTGTTCATGCGACTTCTTTGACCGTTATTTCGATGCAACTGTCAGCTGTGTAGGAAAAGTGTAGCGCTAGTTCCTGTTAGTTGAACTTTAGATGAGGTGACTGTCCTTCACCTTCAATTGCTTAAAAACTACTTACCTCCCAACTTCCACCAAACTCGGCACGAAAGGAAAGAAGTGGTAAAACTAGCACTGGAGTCTGTTTCCGTACATGTGACAGGAGCACAGTTTTCGAAACAAAACAGCAAAGTCCGTCCCGTCTGGGATCTGTACCAGTGAATCAGCCACCAGTCCCGTAGTCAGTGAGTTTAATAGTGTTATAGGGGTCATTAAAAACCAATACAATACCGTTTCAAATGTCAGTGGATTTGTGTTGACTTTTTTATGGCAAGAGGATTTTCTATTCTTTTTTTTTTCAATTAGTCTGCTTGTGCTGAGTTTCTGAAGAGGTTTCCTCATTGCTTCTGTCTTTGTTCCAGGTGAAAATGATCAAGGAAAGCAATAAAGGGAAAGATGTCCCCAGTGAGAATATTCTGGACAAGTGTTTGGAGAACAGAAACTGGGTGTTACAGGTGAGGTGGTCTGCTCATTTCTCTTGTTCCCAAGATGTCATGATTATCATAGCTGCCACTTTCCCGCTAAATAGCGGAAACTCCACTTCATCTAGCTTTTCCCGCTACTTTCCTCCTTCCTCCGCTGGACCGCTCTCGGCCACAAATTGCGATACTTTTTTTTACACGCGGAAAACACTGAACCGGGAGAGAGACGAAAACGCAGCTTGCGCATGTCCGCCCGTAGCTTTCTACTTCCGTTCTTCTAGGCCTAGCGTTAGTTTCACCAGAGACTGGTTTCACTTTGTTTATTGTGGAGCAACAAAGTGTTGATTGGGCATCGGGACGTTAATGCGCCGAGTTGTCAATGAAAACGGCGGAAATTCGAGAGAAATTGATGCTGAATGCAAAAATAAAAGGAGCTGAAATGAGGAAGAAGCTGCCGGTGCGACTTGAAAAGTTCATGAGAAAATTGAACAAACCGCTTGCTGCACTTTGCGTTTGGTGCGATAAGAAATCGCGGCCCGCGGCACTCCTGTACAATTGCGGCCCCGTTTGTTTACATGACGGCTAGATTCTAGATCTATATTGTGGCTGTTGATGAAGTGAACACTGGATCTAGATCTAGATAATCTATCTCTAGATATAATCTAGATTTACACATATTTAGATATCAGATTCTAGATCTAGATTAGATAGCCTAGGCTATAATTTTAATTCAGGTTAGATCTACACTCTACAGAGGGACTACTAAGTTAAGTGCAAACGGGACTGCAGTTGTACAGGAGTGCTCAGTACAGCGGCAGAGGTGTTGCCTCCTTGATCCAATACTGCGCGCACTCTACATCGATGTACAAGTTTTAAGTTGAAAGAAATCTATAAGACACCAGCTTGCAACAAACACTGGATTTTTAGTCACCAAGTCTAAACTGTGTCAAATTGACTCAAATGCTTGTTAGTCTACTTACTGCCTTTGTTGGGTTTTTTTGTTTGTTTTTTGTTATGTTGTTGGTTTTTTTCAAATACATTTTAATTCAGTTGCCTATGGTTAACAAATATGACAGTTTTCCCTTCCAAAACCATAGGCTAGATTTTCCAGTATATATTGCCTCTGGATCTCACTGGTTTTACTCCAGCCTTCGGAGAGCGCACATCCGCCTTCGCATGAATTTCCTCCTTTTTTGAAATTCCTGAGTGACAGCTATGCATTATGGATGAAAAGAAAAGAGGACAAAGCACTATTTAAAAATAATCATCTAGTTTCTATTTATTTAAAAACTTGGAGTTGGGATATGACCAGTAATGGGGCACACATTAAATTGGAATTGCATCAAAAGAGCAATAAAGTTGGACAAAAAGGATTTTTGCAACCGTGTATTTGGTCTCTCAATGTCATTTTAGTCCTCAACTGATAGAATGTTTTGTGGCCTACTTTTATCCAAAGTTCTATGCTGAAGGTAATTGTTATGAATTTTGTTTCCTTTCTCAGCTCTTCGACGACTTGATCAGCCTGCTCCGGTTTGAAGACACAACGAGATAGAGATGACGACCGGGTTGTTTATACCTTTTCTGTGTTGTTCAAGATACCGGCTGTTCAGCCTCGTTGTTTTATACTTTGATGCATTTCCTTTTCTTCAAGATGTTCTTCAAGTACAGTACTGACATGTCTTGCTATTCTGCCTATAAGAGAAAGATGTATTATATATTGGACTAATCAAAGTATTTTGTACTTATAGCGATTGTTGTGATGGCTGAAGTGTTACTTGTGATATGTGATTGAGTGTAGATTTCAGCAAGTCTGATTTTTCTGTTTAAAGAGAATAGGTCTTCAATGTAATAGATGAGACCTCTTATACTATGCCTGAGATGAGTTATGGGGCAATACACTCTTTATCCCATGTCAGTCTGACAGTCTGTTCTGTATCCATTGTATCTTTCAATTGAATTTTTCAAAACGAAGTTTGACGACTGGGAATTAATGTCCCACTTCACGCAGGCCCGTGAAGCCAGGAAGGAGCCTCAGTATTTCACATCTAAACCCAAGACAATCTGGCAACCAATCAGTGGTGGGAGTGTAATCTCGTGTGTTGCTTTTGAAGATACCATAGAAGATACAGAATTTTAGAAATGTTCAATCCAACATAATGTAAAAAGTATTCTGTCTGTGCTCACCATTGTTTCCTGCATCTGCCATAAAGGGTTGAGGAATTTTTTGTTATAGAGATGAAGAAAGTTCTGCTTAGAAGAGCTCTGTGGCCAGCTAGAAGTAGATGTTATGATGATCAAAGGCCTGCAGAGAATGAACAATGAGGTTAAACATGGGATGGCTTTTCCTATTTTTGTGCATATGATTTTTTGCTTGAGTAGTATTATCAAAGAAAAACAACCTCAACTTCAGGCACAATTTAAGTAGTTCTTGTGCAGCCTCAAGGTATGGGGTCCATCATTCACTTTTTTCATTGTGCGTCTTTGACTGTGGTATTATAGAAGAAGAAAAACACGGAACAGCAAAGAAGTTTGATCCTTGAGTTTTTAGTCTTTTTCAGCAACTATCTGCTAGGTGATGTTACAGTACTAAGTCAAAGCTGAGAAATTGTGCCCTTATGGATCGACCAGACTTTAAAATTGTGTTTGTTTGAACTGTGTATTGTCAGATCTACCAGTTATAACAATTTTGTTGTATCTTTGCTGCAGTTTGTTCCTATTTTTCAGGTGTAACTGGATTTTTCTAATTATGAAACACATTGTTTTCTTGTAAAAGAGGGTTTGCAGTGTATGATTTTTTTTCCCTATTCTTGCAGCCTCTCAGAAATCTTGACTGTACTGTACTACTCTGTCTCCAAAAAGCTCTTTTCTTTTAATCAGCTTAAGGTGATGAGAATTGTAAATATATTTTTGCAGGAATTTATTAGGCTGACATGTCCCCTAGTGAATAGAATGAAGGTTACTGCTGCTGAAAAGAAACTCTGAGAAAAGGAGATAGATGACCAACCACAAGATAAAAACGACTATAGAGGTTCCGCACTAAAATCGAAACACGTTTGTTATGTCCTCTACCTTCCCCTTCCAGATCCCAGTGGTAGTCGGCTGGTGAGTTGTCTATCAACAGAAGAATGTTTTTGTTTACAGGTATTTGAGGCTTTTAACTGGTTCTCCTCCCATACCATAATATCACTGACCTTTCCAACAGCATTGCACTTATGGGGTTGGGGGGGTTTTTTTTGTGGTTTTTTTAAAGTTTAGTTTTCACCATGTCCTCATAGTGGGTGGAAGCTGTCTTTGTTTGTCCATGTTTATCCTTTTGCACCTGAATATATATATATATATATATATATATATATATATATATATCAGATTTAGTAAGTGTTTTGGCAATATGGCGCCTTTGAGTTGCATCTGGCATTTATACTATGTTATAAATTAAAGTCAATAATGTTCTATACCCATCTGTACATTGTACTGGTTGCACCCATTGTTTTGATAGCTTCCCCTTCAGTATTGCATTTTCGTTTTGTTTTACACACTAGCCCAGTGTGATTCTACTGTGTTTCTGTTGTGTTGACCCTATTTGATAGATGATTTATATTTCACAATTGCAAATGTTATCCCTTTTTTTTAAAATATCACAGAGAAATGAATTACCATTAATAAAAGGGTTGATAATATTGGTTAACCTTTGTACTGTTCTTAAGATTCGGGGTTCACACTGACGTCAGTTGGCCAGAGTTCCCTCTTAGTTGGTGATTGGTATTTATCATGTTTCTAAGGGGTGGTTGGAAGGTGCTGCTGGTAGCTCCTAACTGTCCCCTATAGCTGATATTTCTGTTCAGGTCTTGTTTTCTGAGACACTAAATTACATTATTGTGTTGATGATGTGAACCTCTTGGACATAGCAAACAAATAGATGTTTTTCTTAATCTTTCCTACTTTCCCACCATCAAAGAAAGTTGTTTGCTTGTCTGAAAGTCAGCATATAAAATTTAGGTAAAGAAAGCCAGGGCTATTTTACTTAATTTAAGGTAACATGAGCTTTAATTAAATGATGTTTCCATTTTTTTGCCGCTTCTATTAGTTTCATCAATCACAATTGCAACATGTTATGACCCCCCTCCCCACCCTCCTTGGCCTCCCAAATTTTGAATCGGTGAGAATGAGAGGGACATATTTTTATGGGAACGAGGAGTGGCATGGTAGTTTCTGACAATTCTCCTGTACAGTTATGATGCTGTCACAGTTCAAGTGGGTTTTTCATCTTGATGGCCTTAGAACATTATAAGAACCTGCCCATGGCTGGACTTAATTGGGTTCTGTCTACTTCCTATGTTTATGTTGTTAGTATATGCTATGGGTTTGGGTTTTTTTAGAAAACATTTCCTTCCAATTGTATTCCTATGGTTAGCATGGTAAGCAAGCTGGGCTGCCAAGGAAACTAGTCAGTCTGAAGTTAAAGCTCTGTTTTGTCGATGGTAGGTAACATCACCCAAATGAGTCGAGAGCACTTTTTTCCTCTCTTTTGTGCGCCCCTCCCCCCCAAATGAGATGGTACAAACCCCTCAAGGACCAGGAGAGAGCACTGTAGACATGAGTTCCCAGGGTTGGTTTGTGTAAGTAGTACTTTCATGACTACTTCACTTCTGCATTTTGAAGTGGGCTTACTGCAGCGCTCAATATTTTTTATTTTCTTCTGGGAAGTGGATTTCTACGGTTTTGGGTTGCCTTGTTTGTGGTTTATCTCTGCATTATACGGATTTATTATGTTGGGGCGACGGTTGTTCTGATGTTTAGAATGCGTACAGGTTGGTTTGTGTGCGGCAGCATGTTCACTCAGATATATATATTCTTCATGATTTTGTTTCACAATTGATGAATTAAGATATTATTGATTTAAAGTGACCTGTAAAGAATTAGTTTGTTTGGGTGGCTTTTCTTTGTTAATATTGATATTATCCTGGCTCCAAGCAAGAATGAGTGGATCTGGAAAAGGCTGGGACTAAGTACTAGTGGCAAGCCTTCACTGTTGTCTGTTTTTGTTTTTAATTCATTTGTCATCCCTCCATTTTTTTGTTTTCTTTTAGGTGTCACAATATCACAGTGTTTTAGAATTTATAGAATGTCCTACAGTGATGCAAATATTTTAATATTGCCCCTAGGGTAGTTGGATGATGGGCGCTCTGGTGTTGTTTGCTCCTTTTCATTCTTTTTGAAATGGGTGGTTGACAGTTGCTCTGGTGTGGTTTGCTCTTTCTTTCCCATCAAACTTCTATCGTCTTTATCTCTGCTTTTTTTCCCTATGTTGTCTTGACACATCTCTCTCATCTTTGTCACTTCACATTACTTAATTATGTTGCAAGTGCCGTAAAACATTCTTTTCAGTGCTTCTAATGGGCTCATCTCCTCTTAATAGAGACATTTTGTTCACTTTATTACAGTCAACAGTGACTTAGCACCAACATCAAGCTTTAGATGATCAAGTGGTTGAGATATCAGTCAAAATAGAAAGATATATTTGGGATTCATTTTTCCTGTTGATTTTGTCATCACACCAGAGAGCTGGTTGTACATGCACTTTGAAGAGAAGTTGTTCAAGTAGTAACGAGAATTTACAGGGAAAAGAGCTGTTTTGTTCAGTGAACATGGATGGTGTTCAGCATGTTGCTGAGCAACATTTCGAGACCTCAATTTATCTGTCCTTCTACCTCCTCCTAAATGATCTATGTTGTATCGATTAGAGCGTAAAATATTTTCAACTTTGGTCCTTCTTCTTCTACATTCTTTTACTTCTGTCCATTTGCATTTCAGTTGTTGCAATGAAAGGTTTTGAGTTCGTTGCTGAGAGGAGATTAACAGTCAGTTGACACCAAAGTAAAGAGTGGTGGCTACCTTGTTGTTCTTCAGGTACGGCTTGGCATCTCCACCCCTCATTAATGTAGTGTAGCTGCACGGCGTTAAAGATCCGAGTTCAATATCAGGTTGGAGAACTATATATCTTCTACTGGGATACTGTAAACCGCTCTGCATGAATTACACCCTGAATACGCCCTGTAAAGGTCAAGTCAAAGCAGCTCAGCTCCTAAATAATCAAAAGCAAAATTGTTTGTTTTTGAGGGAGGGTGCAAAACCTTCAGTTGCCTCAATCCTGCATTCATCCCAGCATGACACTCCACTAATGCTAGAACAACACACACTCGTGAGCCAAGATGCTCTGCTGATGCATAATTGTGATATTTACTTTAGCCTCTTCCTCTCCCCTTTTATCTATCTCTCTTTCCCTCTTTCCCTCCCTATCTTCCTCCCTGTCTCTCTCTCTCTCTCTCAATAACATTGACAGGTTGAGTCCTACGATGAAAACGAGCAGTGCATATTTTCTTACTAATCTTACCGGTTTGTGGCCACTTGTGACCTCTTGAGGCCTTTCTCTCTCTCTCTTTCTCTCCCCCCCTCTCACTTTAGAGCTTGTGAGCTTGAAGTAACATGTGTGAGTCAAGTTGAGTATTAAAATGAAAACGAGCAAAGATTTGCATGTTTTCTTACTGGTTTGTGGCTATTTGTCTCCTTTTCAGGCCTTGCTATTGTGAGCGTGCGGCAAAAATAAAGGAGTTAATTTACTTGTATGCCCGCACTTTCTCTCAAGTACTGCCTGAGAACATGTTACTGTGACCGGCTCTGGCCGTTGATGTGCACCAACCCTGTGCGTGCGCCAGGAACCGGACGTCTTTGTCTCTGATAATTATTTGCGTCAAGTGTTTTTTTGACCGCTGTTTTGCATTGTTTGTGTTTATGTAAATTTCTTATCGTCACTATTATCACCATCATTATCCACCTGCCTTATCATGTTTACAAGGAAAGACTTATAATTTTCTTGTAGATTTCATTTATGGCAATCAGACAGACATGTACATATGTAGTATGAATACATTATTTAGTTAAACACCTCCCTACTCAGAGCATAATGAAGCATTGCACCGGCCATGCAGGAAAACCATTGTACAGAGATCAGCAAGCACCTACTATTCCATTTACTCCACATGCTACTACTACTTTACAACAACAAGTCATCAATGTGCTAGGATAATAGCCCAAATCATGCTTCATCGAGGTCTTTTTTTTTGTTTTCAAACATCCTAATTTTGTGTCTTTTTACCTGACCATGGCTTTAACGTGGTTTTTGAGTGCTTGCTCTTGCATTTTTACATTGTGATCGGCCTTTGCAATTGTTTGAGGAATGTCAGTTTGAATTTTATGAATTTGGCCTAAATTTATTTTATGGTAGCATGTTGGCAGGCTAATTCTACTTCGGTACTACTGTGACTACTACTAATACGACTACTACAAGTACTACTACTTCTTCTACTACTCTAATCCTAGTTGCTGGTGATTACCTCAACTGGCTCTTCAAATTTTGTTTCTTAGTTTCTCTTACTTTAATCAAGCTGTTGTGGTATTGTTTGAGCTGTCCTTACATTACAACCCCAAAAGGACCCAAAATTCTTAATATGATCTCTCCTCATTTCTTCATCCTATATATGTGTAGTATGCATTATGTGGTCAACAGCTGCTACAGTAATACTGATTTTTTTCAAAACCTAAAGTTGTTATAGCTTGATGGTTTGGGCCTTTGAGCTGTTTTGTACACCTGTATTTGTTATTGTTAAATCAATTGTAGATATATAGGATTTGATTGGGGTTTTCTTTTGGGCGAAGGAGTTGGGAGTTATTTGATTCATATTTGATTTCAGATATGTGCCTGTTCTTTCTGCTGAGAAGGCAAAAAAAAGGGAATGGGGAATCTTCATGCTTTTACTATGAACTATGATGACTAAAAAACAAGATTCAGGATGTAGCTTTTGTCATTGTAATTTAAGAAAAACTATTGTTTACTATTGATATTTTCTAATGTTCAGTAGCAAGATAAGTTCCTGCACTGGTTTTCACTTTGTTCAGTTGTTTTGCAGTACGCTGCGGTTTTCTTTGATGTAGGTGTCACTAGTATGTGGTGATTCAGGGGGATTTTTCTTTTGTTTCTCCTTTTGCTTCCCGGGAACACATTGGGTTTGCTTGTTGATTTTGTTATTGGAACTAACTATGCATAATGATTGGTAGCGTTGTCAGTACAAGATCCTCGTTTGACTTTAAGGGATGTGTTTCATACCAGTTGTAAGTTAGGCCAGTAGTTTTAGCTCTTGTTAAAAAGACACACCAAGTAGTGTGTGGCATTCATGTTCAAATTCATAGTTATCTTTATGGGCACGTTCTGCAATACATACTTGTATTGTAGTTTTATAAACCAATGATATATAACTCTTGTTCTGCAGGTCTTTATGAAAATAAATCATTTTTTAATAGAAGAGCGATGTCGCTTTCATTACTTCAGAAGAACTTGTGTCTTTGGGTTTTTTTGTCTCTCTCGAAGTTGTATTAAATTGTTCTGTGTGCAGGTTTCATCAGTCGTGTGGTTTTTGTTTTATCTGTTTCTTTCTAAAATTCAAACCTGCTCAAACTGCCACTTGTGCAAACAACTACCTGCCACTCAATTGCGACCACTTGTGCCGGTGGTTGGAGGGCACCACTGGTAGGTCCTACTTCTTTAGTTTCCCTCTGTTGTGTCTGTCTGTCTTTCTTTTTTCCAGAATTAAATGACTATTACTGTGTGTTTTTCTCTTTACGCTGACAAATCAAACAAGCAACCACTTTTTTCCTCGACTATCAGTGGCAATCTTGGACAATTTCAACAAATCTTTTCGTGTTAAGACCAGTTGTTAACGTGGGTGGTTGTTTTGTTGTTACTGCAACCTCCTTTCACTGTTACCTGTATACTGTATACATGTACTGTGGAACTCGGATTTAACGAGCTCGGATTCAACGAGATGAGATAGATTCCCCGGTTTTTTTCTTCTTTAAAATCAATAAAACTAACCCGGATTCAACGAGCACTTAAATAAGCGAGCTCGGATTCAACGAGGTCACTTCCAGGGTGAACAGCTCCCGCAGACGTGGCTTCGTTAATTTTTCTCTCAGAGCGAACTTTATCTATTCCCAGAAACCATCCATTGCACCTGCACCGTGAACCATTATTTACTTTGCCGATTGCATGCGACCAATCAGCGGCCTTTTTAAATACCAACACATGCGTTGTTGGCACGCGCACGTGTCTACTCTGGCATGTGTCGGGGTCGGATGGGCGGCCTGCACACGTGGGCGTGTTGGGGAGGGGGGAGGGGACACTAGCGGTCCGGGCGTTGAACGTCGCATATAATACAAACGCGTCACAGTCTTTTTACCCCCTCGGCAACTGACCATTATTACAATTATAAGTTAGTCTTGACGTAGATCTACGTACTGAATTGTGCGCTAGTCTCTCTATAGAATCAAAAGTTGCCGTATGCTAGGCTCTACACAGCAACACAACTTTTTGGTAAACAAACGAGATGACACAGGCGTGTGTATTTGAACGAATCGGTCTTTTTTTTACACAGCTCATAATATACAGGCATTTCAGGCACTACATGTGACTTCGCTTGAACATTACTTGCTCAGTGCCTGTAATTATCTACACAATACCTCGTGTTTGCTATAACGAACACTCGGATTCAACGAGAATTTAGGTCGGGCCCGGCGACCTCGTTGAATCCGAGTTCCACTGTATTTGTGTTCCTTGCAAAATGTGATCACCCTTGTGCCACCTCGCCATAAACTGCAACGTCACTTTACCTGTGACAATCAATTGCGGTGGGTGATTGGAGATTATTGCCCACCCACTGGGGCGGTGCTTCTGATTGTTCAAAGTGCCTTTAGGCACTTCCCAAAGGGGAAACTTAACCTGTTCTTTTGCACAGTAGAATTGTAAATGGGCTGATTCATCGATGCCATGTTCATAACTGTGCCTGAACTGCAACAGAGAACTGCTGCTTTTTCTTTCCTAATTCTTACTATCGTCATTTTTCCTCTACTTCTTTTGTATGTTTGTCACACTCTTGTGACCCGCAATTTCCGGGGTGCCTTGATAGTCAAAGCAGACTTTGTATTGTTGAAGGTAGAGAGGTGAGCAGAGTAAGTCTGATTCCCTGTAAGGACTTCTCTGTTACATCCACCCCTTAGCGCTCATATGACCTTAAGCAGTTGCGAGCGCCGTAAATCCTCTACTAAAACAAAACACATTATTGCCATGGATGATAGGCAAGCATCTCTAGTAGTTTAAAATCTTTGGCAATTGTATATCCTGCAAGTGCCGTAAAAACTAAAACTAATCAATTGCAAGCTCGTTCTCTCTACCCTGTGTACTGACAGGGAAGTTCAGAGCTCAGTCTTCTCAATTTAACAACTGGAGATTTAGATATATATAGTTGCTACCTTAGAATTAAAAAGTTCTAGATCTATCTGCTCAGTACCTAGTTTTGAGAAATTTGACGTCAAATTTTTTGTTTCACAACAGGTCAAGCTTTTTCAAATGCAGATCGTTGAATATCTTTATGACGCTAAATAATCTTACGATTTTGATAGAGCAGATAGGACATTTGGTTTCTGACCTCATTGTCTTAGTAACTCGAAATGGCCAAAAATGTCAAATAATACTTTGTAATTCTAAGGTAGTGTAGTGTTTTGTATACTACGAACTTGTAAAAGGGCTCGGCATTTAATTGTTTTCTCACCAAACGTACTTGATATTATCTCTTTTCTGCGTCCATTTGGTTTAAAAATTTGTCTTTCTACTCTCTTTTTGATGGCGAAAAGGCATTTTATAGACATGATCTAAGGATATTAGATTTTGGAGGTTCATGCAAGTCCATGATTATACTGTATTTGGTAAGCTGAGAGCCAAAGGCAACTGTCCTTTTCCATTCAGCCAACCATGTATGAATAGTATGATCCAGTGAGTGGGAGGAAGGAGGGTGCCTCTGGTAGGTCTTACTTCTTTTCTTTCCCAGTGCCGTTTTTGTTTGTCTACTTTAAAATATTTCCCAGCACTAAACAACTGTTATTGTATTGAATGATGCGATTCTTCTTAAGTACAGTACAGAAAAACTGAGCACAGATGGGGTATCTTTCCTCCAATAATGACACAACACAAAAGGGAAATTTGTACGTAGTCGGGCTTTAGCGTCTAATAAATAAACCAACATACTTTTTAAAATAAGAAATCAGTCATGATCCTCAATAATATGAAATAGATTAGATAATTTTGGAAAGTGCTGGGTTTATTGCAAAAGTTTTGTTTTATCTTACGTAAGTGTATGTATGTCTTCCTCGAGGCTTGATTGTAAATTTTTTAAAGTACCAAATCAATCAGAAGCTTATAGGATACTCTAATGAAAAAAAAGGTTCTTGTGCCCAACTGAAAACATTGCAGTTATAATGTTAATAGAAGTACCCTTTCTACATTCAGATGGAAGGGTTTTAATGAGTGGACGAGTGCATCAACTTGTATGTCATCACTTTCACTGTTTGTTTGTTTTTTTGTTCGTTCATTTTAAATTAAATCAAACTTTAAGAACTTCACAACAGTGAAAACACTACAAAGTTTTGATGTTCCTAGAGATATATGTGTCCATTCACATGTGTAGTTCAACATGATGGTGCTCGCTAGCAGTGCATTTATATTATTCAAAAAAGAGGCTAAACCATCCATGTTACCGAGTCATATGTCATATACTGTGCCAAGTATATGTCAGAGGTGGAGTTGAAAATAATTTAGAATGACTTTCCTTTGCAAATGCTACATATCCGCGATCAAAATACAGGTAGGCCTACCACTTTTTTAATGCGTAAAAAATGTAAGAAGACTTTTGAGTGTTTACACTTTTCTTTTCACTTTCACGGGAGTAATACTAACTAAGTAGTCTAAAAGGGTAGGCCATGTTATAAAAACAACATTCTGGTTCTTCAACTAATATTCATAGCACCAACATAAAAAAACATAAAATTGCCCTTTTTTCCTGACGACGGGAGGGATATTTTCTATTCTTTTTCAAAAAATGAAGTTTAGGTCTTTGTTTATCAAAAACCGCAATTATATTTGACATAGTCACCAAAGAAACATGGTAGGCTTAACTCAAAATAAGAGAACTTGAGATATTGGGGCACTCAACGTGTTGTTGCTATTGCCAGGACACAGGAAGGCCAACGTTAGTTTTCTATTAACATTTTAATTTTAATGTTAACCACTCAGCACTAGCGATCAGTATGAGATAGTTCAGAAATAAATCAAAATCTTCATCACTCACACTCAAATCCAGTAGTCTTACCAACTTAGCTAACATTTTTCTTCCCAAGCAACTGTATAATTAGAAGACAAAAAAGTCCCCTCTGCCTCCTCCCTGCAAAAAGCACAAGAACGTGTGGACAATAATTTTCAAAAATATATCCATTTATTAGGTCATACATGCATGTGATTCAGACTCATGATTACAAATGAAAACTTGTACAGTGGAACTCGGATTCAACGAGAACTCGGATTCAACGAGATGAGATAGATTCCCGGGGTTTTTTCCTTTAAAATCAATTTAAAAAATAACCCGGATTCAACGAGCACTTAAATCAGCGAGCTCGGATTCAACGACGCTTTCAGGGTGAACAGCCCCCGCAGACGTGGCTTCGCTCATTTTTCTCCCAGAACGAACTTTATCTATTCCCGGAAACCATCAATTGCACCTGCATTGAGAACCATTATTCACTTAGGCGATTGCAAGCGACCAATCAGCGGCCTTTTTTTACCAACACATGCGTGGTTGGCACGCGCACGTGTCTACTCTGGCGTGTGTCGGGGTCGGATGGGCGGCATGCACACGTATGGCTGTGTGTGCATGTCGGGGAGGGGGGGGGGCACTAGCGGTCCGTGCATTGAACGTCGCATATACAAACACGTCAGTCTTTTTTTCCCCCTCGGCTACTGATCGTTATTACAATAATAAGCTAGTCTTGACGTAGATCCACGTAATGAATTGTGCGCTGGTCTATGGAATCAAAAGTTGCCGTATGCTAGGCTCTGTACAGCAACACAGCTTTTTGGTAAACAACCGAGATGACACAGTCGTGTGCATTTGAACGAATCTGTCTTTTCTTTATACACAGCTCATAATATGTAGGCATTTCAGGCACTACTTGTGACTTCTCTTTATACATTACTTGCTCAGGGCCTGTAATTATCTACACAAAACCTTACGTTTGCTATACACAGCGCCGAAAACTGGCCGAAATCGAGCCTCTTAGTTTCCCAGCCCAGCGACATCTGAAAGTCATTAAATCACCGTCCGAACCGCTCCGTGCCAGGTTACGCGGGGTCACTGGCCACTCCGTTGTGCATCAGTTGCAGTCGAGCAGGCCATGGCGTAATCGACATGTTTGACACTAATAATCGGCAGTATCCTCACTCTAACCACGAACTATTCCATACAAAAAGAAAATCTCAGTCTGCGAAAACCCGATCTCAATGCAACGATATTTGCCGATGTTACAGTGTTTGTAAAATATTCTGAATTTCATCAAATTTAATTTGTGTGTGCTGCACTTAATAATTCACTTTTAATTTCCAAAGTAGACAGTGAATTTCATAAAGTTTTAGTGCGTACACCACCAGTGACATGTTTGTGTTTTGTGTGTATAAATTTCATCACAGTCGGAAGAACGGTTGTTGTGATATTAAGTCATTAAGTCTCTTCCATCTGATTCTCATCCAGTGATTTGTTATTTGCCTGTGCAACTATTTATGCTGCTTTCTATCCTGTTTTAAGTTTAATAGTTCTCCGCTAATTTCAAAGATTGATGTTTCTATGACATATTTGTGCTTCATGTGTAGCGTGTTACGGTGTTAATTAGAATCCATCTGCCTGTGATTCATTTATAACAAGTTATCTGAACTATCCCAACGGAACACACTCTTGAGAGACATACCTCATCCCTGAATGAACTTTGTCGAGTTTGCGGGTTTAAGAACGTGAGTGAAGTACAAAAGCGGCGGAAAAGAAAGGCTAAGACATGCGAGTCACTGCAAAGTGACATTTTGTTAATATATGACATTGACATAAGAGAAGACAAAAATGACAAACATTCGAGGTTTATTTGCCACAAGTGCCACCTTAAGACCTATGACACTGTAGAAGTTGAGAACAGAATGTTTCTTGACAACCAGGGAAAAGAACAGGGTGTCCCCTACGGCCGTATTAAGAATTTATCCTCATTTGTTGATAGCCTGTTAGATGAGTATGTTGGGAATGACCCCCTTGTGTGGCCTGACACAATACCACAAGAGGAAGTGTGGATCGAAACTGGGGGGGAGGGGGGGGGCATGGCAAAAACTCGTTCAAAATGACACTTCAGACAGTCAATACATCCAAGCCCAATGCTAAACAACACACAATAGTCATTGCTACAGCCGCAGTAAAATACACACATGAAAACATCGTAAAGTTTTTTTTAGCTGGGGGTCTTGGAGATGACATCGCATCATTATCGGCACATACATGGAGGGGGAAAAGGCTGAAAATCTTCGTCAATGGAGATTATGATTACATGTGCAAAATGTACGGTCTGTCGAGTCCACAAGGAACGCACCCATGCCTGTGGTGCTTGATACCTAAAGCTGACTTTGATGCCATTTGGTGAGTAGATGCCCACTTGGGTTGTCTTTATTCTGAGCTATTTATTTAGAGAATTTCACTGACTACTTTAGTTGTTATATAACTTTTAATTCGGTGTATATAACCTTAATTACCACAGAGAAGAGTGGCTGTCTTTGATCACATGTTGTTGACAAACTATTCCAGATATCTTCGTTGCGTTTTCACAAACTATACATTAATTTTAAAAATAGAAACTCATTGATGAAACAATTTGTGTCTGTTGATAGTTTTTCTTTATTTGGTGAGCGTTGAAACAAAACTGTGTAAAATTGCCGTGGTATGTAACCCCGCGCGTGGAGTGAGCGCAGGTAGACTGACCGGTAGCTGACCCCGGTCACGCTGACCTAGCAGCGTACGGCCTGGCAAAACTAAACGACCGCTGATTCGGCGCTGTGTATAACGAACACTTAGATTCAACGAGATTTTAGGTCACACCTGGCGACCTCGTTGAATTCGAGTTCCACTGTACTTGTGCAACTTGTGCACATGCACACCAGCATCACTAGCCCATGAGCACAAACACCCATGCACACACACACACACACACACACACACACACACACACACACACACACACACACACACACACAAAATATGTTCTGATAAGCATCACAGCAGTGGTAATAGGCGAACAAATAAACAGTACATTAATGCTTCTCTGAACTCAATAAATGTACCACAATTTTTTGCAAGTCAACACAACCAAAACCAGGACATATGAAGGCACTAAACAATGTTTTACTAAAATGACTAGATAAAACCTGGAGAGACAATGCAGTTTCTTCAGTATTCACACAGCAATGTCAGTGTTTGTAAAATTTTAAAAACCCTCAATTCTGTCATTTGTATATTGTGCCTGTGAACCCAACAAAAACAGTGCTGTGTAGACTTCACTCATCTCTTAACACAAAGAAACCTTTTTCTGTGGTAAGAGTGGATGGAAGGCTTTAAAAAGTCCCTATACAATTATGTAAAATTAAAAGTCCCTGTCATCCGAACTGTAGTCTGATCCTACTATCCACTTAAACAACAGCAAAACCCAGACACTCCCCAAACGGTCAGTTACCACCTCTTCAATAAACTGTGAGTTAAAAAAGAAGTCCTTAATAAACCCATTTATTTCAATACATAGAAGTCTTGTGAGATGGCGACGTGTAGGAGGAAAATAACTGCACAATTTCTTAGCAAATGAAAGAAATCTATAATTCTGACTATTATTATTCACCACAGATACACCTCTCCTCACACTCTACCCATAAAAATATGTAGGCTAATGTACACTGAATCTTGTCAAAATTCCCAGTGACAATTAGATCATTTTAATCCATTGTAACTATTCACATCAGTCTAGCTTCTAAATGTTGCAAGATATATCAATGCTACTTCAACGAAATTAAAAAAAAACAACTCTTTATCATTTGAATGAATTTGAAAAAGGCTTAAAAACTCTCATTCAACGAACAAGGATTCACCGAAAGAAGGATGACCCCATTATTTTTATTCGTAAAAATAAACGAACGAACCCGTATCCACCGATCACTTATAAGTAACTTCGGAATCACCAAAGTCAAGAGTAGAGAAAACAAGCCCAGCTGATGTAGGTTTGTGCATTTTTGCAAATAACTTTTATCTACCTGTATGCCAGTCCAAAGGACCACTGATCTCGCAGCACAGTGGATCATAATTTACACTTATTGCAGATAACGCATTGCATAGGGCCTACTGCAAGTGAACCACCATGGACATAAAGCCATTTTGCGAGGACAATGCCATAATATCCCTTCCCAACTACAGATCAGTTGAAGCGATAGTGACAGTATACGCACCCAGCTGTGCTCAGGTCTGTGGGCCCACACTGGCAGCGAAAGTCATGCCAGACCATAGCAGCAGGCCCTAGTGTATTTTTTTCACAAACTATCTACCAAACCTTCTGTCATATGACACAGGTCTGTATTTAAGTAAAGTGTGCTTTTACACTATGTAGGCTTTAGCATAGTCCATTGTATACCAATACACCTGGAGTTTTCAACATTAGCCATAATCTTGGAGCTCAGTCAATACATTGTTATGGCATCGATGAAAAATGGTTAAACTGTTAAACCACACCGCAGTTGACTGGGGAAGTTGAAGAGGGGAAAAATAGGGTGGATCTTTACAGCGAAAATAGTAGGCCTATAGCACCAATCCCTCATTCAACTTTTTGGGAAGACAATGATAAATATGAGATGAGAGCTGCCATGGATCGAGGAACATGTAAACTTACGAGACACCAAAAACCTGTACTTGAAGGAATTGATCAAGCCTTTCTGATGAGGTTGATATAAAAACAAACAAAGAGACAAATACACTGAGTACAATGAAACAAAAAGAAAAATCTTACATATGTGCAACATTTTTCCGGTAGCCAAGTGAAACATTTTCCCACACAAGCAGGTATTTTGGGGCGCCACTGACTACTTTCCTTTACACGTGCACCAATTACAACCTCACCGAGCTCTTGAACTCAATTGACTTGGAAAGTCGTTCCCGACCACTTCGCTGTACGCAGGCCAGATGGGTTGACCTCACAAGCTGGACCTGGCCCACGGGACTGTAGTTTAGTGGCCCCTCCTCTACGAACAATGAACAATTTTGCAACACAAATGCCATTTGTGAAGTTTTGTCAAATCTGGAACCATCGTATCGGACAAGATGAGACAAATTTCAACATTAACACATTTTTTCACAAATCATAATTTTCCATTTTTCTAAAGAACTGTAGTAAATGATATTTCAAAAAATAAGCTGCAACAAAAGGTGTCAACATTTCTTGACAAAGCTAGACATCTTCTGCCTAACAATCAGATACTTTCCATGGGTCACATGACGTCACTTGAAATAGACGTAAATTTATTGGCAGTTAGTTTTAGCCCTGATTATTGTAAATCATATGATTGCACTTCAGGGTTTATCAAGTTTTAAAAGTTGTCTCTTTTTGTTAAATATATAGCAACGGGAAGCAAGTTGCATATTAATGGTTTGGTGTAGAAAGAATTTAGAAATTTATTCAGCTTTTCTTTAAAAAAACACCGGTTATGGGTCCCTGAATCATTAATCATCCTCCGGCCAGACCCAAAGCTGTTTTACAATTATTCGTATGAATGGGAATTCATTTTACATGATTTTGTCTCATTTTGTAAAGTACCAAGGATGAAATGTAGCATTTTGTCTATTTTTGAAGGGGAAATCTCATCAATTAAAAGGCCTAGAATCCAACATATGATTCCATTACACAATAAATATCAGTGAAGCCTTAACTTAAGGTTTATATCATCTTTACCCTAAACACAAAGTTGCTATGGTTTGTTCAGTATAGGTAAAGAACAGAAATTTTCATTTTTCTCAAAAATGAGTAAAATTGCATTTTGTTGCAAAACTGTTCATCTATAAACAAACACATGCCAGTGGGAAAAGTAAAGAAGACAGTAAATATTGCACTTTTGCATCTGAGTAAATATTACACCTGTGCGTCTGAGCACAGCTAATCTCTCTCTCTCTCTCTCTCTCTCCCTCTCCCTCTCCCTCTCCCTCTCACAGATACACACGCACATGTATACACACACACACCCATTTATGCTGGTGTGCACAAAGGGTCTACTTAATACTATCCCCCCATGCCACAGGGGTGGGGACAGGCTCATTGTCACCACTCAAGAATCCTAGGAGTCGTCTGGTATCAAAAGTTCCTTCTCAATCCTTACATCTTCCATCATGATATATTCCTTCAATGTTACTGGCACCTCCAACTTTGGCACCACCAGACTCAGGGCTCGGTGTTGATGAAGCTTACTCAAGCGATTCCTGATCCTCAAGCGGCACAGAAATGCCAATGACCTCGCTTGAGAGGACTCAACAAGGTACTTTTTGACCACCAGCGCTTTCAAATGAACTTCATTTGCTTCCAAAAACCCAGGGGGATATCTGTTGAACTGTCGATATTTCCTTGAAAACTCCGGTTCAGTATAAATTTCCATCATGCCAATAAGAAGTGTAGCATCACTGAGTCTTTGACTTTCTAATTGAGATAAACTGTCTCTTTTTTTCTGTGCTAGCTGTCTGAGGAAGTGGTCGTCCAAAATATTGTGGCCAGCTTCTGTGAGGAATTTCAGCACATTGTCCACAAATAAAGCTGTATACCCTGGTTGCTCTAGGAAGCAGAAGATTAGGGAAGAGACATTCTGAAATGCACAAAAAAGACAAAATTAGCTAAAACAATTATTTGAAATCATGCTGTGCACAGAATCAAAAATAGACAAAATATAAAAAGATAAGCCATTCTCAAAAGATCAGCTTAAAAACATTGCAACAAACTACAACCCAACTTTTCAAATGGTAAATTTTTATGCTTGTTATAACTTTGATTTAATCTATAGTGCCTTTGTTTCTAATTTAGATTTAGATACAACACTTTCACAGTAAAATAAATCAATCTATAACTCCTCTTGAATCCTTATACCAGGAACGCTATTATATCCGAAATTTAAAATGGATCTTTTTTTTTGGGGGGTGCAAAAATGCAAAGCTCACAAGCATCATTCGTCTTTAAATAAAATATGCAGACATAGTTATTCAAGCATTGAGGAAGGAAAACTTTACGAAATAACAAAAACCACACAAATCCACAGCATTTTCCCAAAACACGAACATAATTATTTCTTTAAGTTATGAGCTTTAGTCGATTTAAACTCAGGAATAGCATCAATTTTGTCATTTCTTAATTGAAATAAAAATCTTTCATACAAATTTCCTTCCAGTCATGCTCACTTCTGAGAATGGCTCATATTTTTTAGTGCATGTTCTAACAATATATACAGTCGAACCTGCCTTAACGGAAACCTGCATAAAACGGAAACCTCTCCAACGTGGAAACGGAAAGAAAAATCCGTTCCCTTCGGAGGGTTTCACCTGTGTAAGATGGAAACTGCTTTGCCCGCTCAGCACTGATTTGAAACAAAACTCGCAAGTTTGGTTCCGCCAGCTCTTAACTTAACGCCATGGCCATGCCGCTGGGAGAGGAAAGGGAGTAGGGGTGCAATTAGGGGGTAGATGTTACCCCATCATGTAAGCCCTGAGCGATGCAGATGGTCAGGGTGGTGTGGGTGCGAAATCTCACGACTGCCCGTGAGAGTGCTCGAGTAGCGAACCACTGCAGAAACTTTCATGGGTAACCAGAAGCCAGAGGTGTGAAATTAGATTGACCAATGCCTGCTGCCCTGGTCGCAAAGCCAGCCGAGAAAAGAGTTCTTCGAATCGTTATTACATGATGGCAGTGAGGGGTGGCATTGGTCGACTGTGCTTGTTACACCGGCGGGTGGGGCTAAGGGTGGAAGCAAAGGAGATGTTCTAAGGTTTCTGTTTTTAATAGGTCAAACAGTGGTCCTATGAAAGGCAAGCACTGGTGGTAATTGGATAAATAAGACTGACGCATGTCATTTTCAGAGAGGATAGCAATGGAGAGGTGTGAAGTTTTGACTACTGCTTGCCGATCGGACAAGTGATCCTTGATCCCACCCCCCCACCCCCTTTCCATCTCCCCCTAAATTCCCCTGTCTAAGACAGAAATGGGTCAGTGATCAACTTGCCCAGTGAGGAAAAAAAAGAAGTCTTCAACTCCAGCGGGTCCTTCTGCTCCAATTTCATTGCCGAACAACAGGCTATCACCAACACAGCAAACTACATCAACTACTTGTTTGACACTAACCCACTTGCTACCATAGACATCGTTATATTTACAGACAGCATTTCAACACTAGAGACACTTGAGAGTGGGACTGATGTGAACAAAGATATATTGCATTTGATTTGGAGTCTACATAACTTGATAAGTAGGCATCACATCAGAGTAGTCCTACAATGGATTCCTGCCCACACTGGGATACCGGGAAATGAAAGAGCTGATGCTCTGGCAAAGAAAGGAGCTAGTCTCCCTCAGCCTGAAATTCCTACGAATTACACCACCTGCTGCCAAATGATCAAGTCAAACCTCAAGGAAGAGTGGATGAATGATTGGGCCACAGGTACGACAGGAAGGAGGATGTATGGCCACATGAATAAACCACTGGTCAAAGATCCAATCAATGAGTTGAGGAGGGGAGATCAATCCATAATCTTCCAATTTAGAACACAACATGTACCCCTCAACCAACATCTCAACTGAATTGGAGTAAAGCAGTCTGCTGCCTGCCCACTATGTGACTACCCCTCAGAGACAGTGGAACATCATCTGTTTTTCTGTAGAAAACTAACTGATTTAAGGGGATGTTTTCTTCCCAAGCTACCCCACACATCTAATTGCCTCTACTCCTCAAGACAACAATTAGAACAAACATGCAACTATTACCGAATGGCATCATGCAGAAGAGTTAACGCTCAGATGCTACTGGATCGCTAACAACAACAACAAGACAGAAAACCCGACTGTATATGTAGGAAATTGTCTAAAAATATTCATACGTCAAAATAACCCAGTCTAAGGCTTACAGAATATATGTAATACAGTCTAGCATGCACACAGAGAGACATGCCCATAGTGAACAGACTTTCTGGTCCCAAATTTGTTCTTATGCACCTATTCTTTTTATTTAAAAGCGACTTTGTTTCAAATTCAGACCCTTTGTTTGCAACTCTCTGGGACATTTGGGATGAAATGACAAATTAAATAGTTATGTCCAAAACCTAATAGACTATTTTACGTCTCTTTGATTTCTCACAATTTTGCCAAGCCTGATTTTTTAAGGTCAGTTTGGAGCGACCATGATCTCGGGCATCTCTAAACATAGAAGAATTATTAATTAGACAGAATTTATAAAGCTTTAAATGGGTATGCTGCATGAGTGTGTAATGAGAGGCTTTAACACGATGGTTGGATGATTACATTTTCAAGTTTCTTTAGGATGCCACTGTATAAGAAACTAAAAACTTCAGAAATTGAATAAAAGGGCTCAAATCTCTAAAAATTAGAAAACCAAAACAATTTCACTGAAATGAGAGATAACTACAAAGACAAAATCTCTTCCTTACTACACGTCTGCTCGAATCTGTGGGTAGCCAGCCAATGGTAGGATCCTTAGAGCAGCCATTTTTTATGACAAACACAGTAGCTTCTAGGTGGAAATGTATCAAGCACAGATCAAGAGAACTGTAGAATAACGACTGACTTGCCTGAAATGAAAAAGCAGAATTTCTATCTTGAGAGTTAAAAGATGTACATTGTAACCAGGTAAAACGTATTGTTTCATACAAATTTCCTTTTGAGTTTTTGACCCAAGATCAGTTTTAGTGCATGTTTTAAGAATAAATATGAAATTGCCTGAAAATATTCACAAGTCCAAATAACCTCGCCTAGGACTTATCTTTTCCAATCACAGGCTGAAACCTGTCAGTAAAATATGGAGTGCTAGAGTTCAACCAAGTTGAAACTGACAGAACATTCTACTTATTTCTTCCACAGGACAAGCAATGCTATCATCAGCTGTCAGAATTTACTCTCACTTCCACTAATTCACTTTGAGCAATTCACTAACTGAAAGAGCTGCAGAGCTGGCCTTCCATAGAAAACTAGATGTACATCTCCCCTCGACGCTTTACGGCTACAGAGGATGAAAAAGTAAATATAACAAACAAAATCTCCCAAATCAACACGTGAATTATTCACTCAGGAATACAGGATGGATATCTGTTACAAACATAATTTTGCAAGTGAAGGGCCCTTTTTATAAAGTTTAAAGAATTTTGAAAAGTTTTGATTCATAGAAAATAAGAATTTGAATTCGAAGCCTCAAGTAACACGCAGTAGACAGCCCGTTAAAAACAATGGACTCTTGAAAAGGTTAAGGTGGTCCATGATTTGGTGAACTCTTTGTTTAGTCTAGTAAGAGTTTTACGGCGCTCGCAACTGCACAAGGTCACATGAGCGCGCGAAACACAAGTTGGTGAACTCTGACCAATACCTCATCATCTTATCAGAGTTTTGGGGGAGCTTGGGACTATAATTTGTTGATGATGAAGGGAGAAAGACCTAGCACTTCCAGCAAGATAGGGTTGCTCCACATGACACCAGAGCTGTTCTGGGCTGGGTAAACAACCATCCTGGTTACTGGACAGTCAGTCCAACTGAACACAACTGGACCCCAAACGAGCTGGACTTGAATCCACTGAACTTTCACCATTGACGGTGTTTGAAGCACAAGATGTCTGGGAAAATGTTCGAAAGTATCCAAGATTTAAGAGAAACTGTCACAGAGAGCGCAAGAGAAATTTCCCTCGAGCACTGTCAACGAGTGATTGTCACTTTCATTGAGCGTGTGATTTACTCGAAGTCGGGGGTGTCCAGAAGATATCTTGTAACTTTGTGGCAATCATACTCAATTGTAAGTACTGGTAATGCATAATAAATCCGGATGGATGTTCCACGTTTCAGCAAATTTTGGAGTTTGTACCTATATTTATACAGTTTTATTTGCATTTTAAAAAATTTTTACCAACTTTTTTCAGGTCACCTGGTACATTACCTATTAAATTTTTGTGTTACAAATTCCGTAAAAACTCTTACTAAAACTAGGAGTGTGAACAGGGTAAAAGACCAAATTACTTTCATCCACTGAACTAGATCTAAGACTACAAAATATTTCAAGACAGTCAATAAACCAAGAAGTCTATCATTAATTTTTCAGAAGTTTTTCTTCTATCTTTTACACATAAAAAATATGTTTACAGGTAACAAGTATCAAGCTTCCAAACACTGTATATAACTTACAATAACAGCAACTTTTGTCAGCCGTGCTCCAGCATTTACAAGTAACTTCATGACATCTACGTCATTGTTATTTGCTGCAAGTCCCAAGGGACTGTAGTTCTGTAATTGCAATAAAACCAATATATTTCTCAATAGTCAATAAATAAAAATCAAACAGGCAAAAAAGTATCCAAAAATTCTAATACAAAATATTCAGTCTACTTCCATAGAAAGTATTCATGAAATCATCATTGACATTTTATTTTGCATCATGTGCCTGTATGCAGGGGACATGGGGTCATGTGCATGTGATTATATGGGTGTGTTAGCATATGTGTTCAAACCGGCAATATTTCATCAAAGAGTGGTAACAGAAGTCATTTGTACACGTAAATCCTGCTACAAAGAACTAAAGACAGAAAGGAGAAATAAAAATCTAAGACAGACATGTTGGTGAGCTGAAGTTTAGGTCTACAGTGAATTAGCATCATAACAGTCATCAATAGACTGGGCCAATGAAAACACTTTCTTGAGCTTGAGTAAAGAAGCACATTGACACAATGACTGTCATTTAATATTATATGAGATCTGTCCCAGAAGTAAGTTTCCCTGTTCTGCAAAGTAGTCTCTTTCCCACAAATCAAAAAAGACAGTGATTGGAAGACAAGGATAAAATTGTGCTCAAAACAAATGCTGCCAAAAGGCTCTGACCAAAGCAGACATGGTCACTGCGTTTGATCATAGCTACGTCAGATGAAAAAGTGCATGGAGATCAACAGGTTGTTATGCTGAATAAAAATCATGTTTCTATAGATATACACAATTTGCATTCAGAAAGCATGGTTTGTACTTCTTGACTTCAATGCGATATATCAATCAAGACTGACTCCATCAGATTCGGTGCAGACTGAAGAAACTGCCCTGTCACTTGTACCTCTTGACCGGCTGACCACCAGGCCCCAGGAATTTGAAGAAAAAAAATCGCCGAGACCCGGGAAAGCCCCGGGAATTAGAGGAAATCTGTAAATTGCCTCAGGAATGACCCAGGCAAATAATAAATAATTAAAACCAAATCCGATAGGGTCAGTAAATTCATTTTTGCAGGTCGCGATTGAGTTATTCGTTTGGCTTTTCCCGGTCTGATAACAAAACTTTTATGACAAGCAGCTTGTGAGTTATAAACGCTGTGTCGCCGTTAAAATAAATCAATATTTGTGACTTCAGTCACTAAAGAAAAAAAAAGAAAAGAAAATCAAACGTCATATTTTCAGCTTGTTGGGCTCGTCAACGTGACCGGTCAGTGAACCTGCGCACGCTCGCATCCAATGTCATAATGTGAGTATGTTTGCAGGGGTCACCAAAGTTCATTCAAAGCCTGAGTGTTGCGGAATATTTTGGACTCAGGAGTGGGGAGAGAATTATTGATTTTTTTTAAAAGATACGCTCGGGTTGTTTGTGAAGGTGTCTGTCAAAGTTCCTGAGACTATTTATGTATTCATAGTTCTTTTAAAGTCTGTCAAAGTTTTTCATTGTACATGTCGTCAATGTAGCAAGAGTCGATCATCATTAAGCTTTTTATCTTGTTCTCGCTAATCTCACCTGTTTCTCCCATGACTACTTTATCGAGTTCTGACTTGGTAGTTTCATCTCTTTCGACACAGGAAGGCCATATAAGAGACAGCCGCTCCGGCCACAAATCTCGGGAAAAATGGGGGCCCAACGAGACTCGAACCCGGGATCTTCAACATATGAAGCGTGTGTCTTACCACTACGCTACAGTGACTCCTGTTGTTTATTTTGTAACACCCTACAGTACACAGATGGTCATTTCGAAGGCTGATCACTTGATCTCACAAGAAGGCGCCGAGGGGGGTGTGAATAAAAAGCCGAAGCTCAAGAGTATCTTACTGTCGGGATTCGAACCTTTTGGCCAAAGTCCGTCAACCTGCCGGCACGTCTTCTTAAAAAACAACCCCGCCCCACAGTACACTACAAAATCATGTTGGGAGGTCCTGGCTGCATACATATCCCCAAGTGATCACATCACAATTCCCTGGCCGCATAATGTGTCCTCGATGACCACATAAAGGTGCCCTGATCGCAAACTGGTCCCTTCACATGGTGTTTTAGAAAGATCATCCTTCTTGGCAATATAGCCGAGAATGCTCTATTATACATCTATTGGCCAGAGGATGTGCAAGTTTGCAGGCCAAAATTTTTTTAGTTATCTCTATTCGTTTGGCTGTTTGAGCAAATTAAGTGAGAAATGGCCGCAAATAGTGTCTTTACTCTAGTTAAATAAGTGCTTTTGGAGCCATTATTAAACTTTCTGTTTCAAATTAATAAATATGTGCAATTAATTTTTTTTTAAGAAGAATCTTTTTTTTTCTTTTTTTTTCCACCTCTGTATCTAAGGGTAGTAAATTGAGGCTTTTTAAAACTACAGGAGACAAGGTCATCGTCTAAAACATTCAAGAGATTGTAAGTAGGTATGGTATACTCACAATCGAATGTGCATTCGGCATCTGATATGAATTGATATTAGCACCATGCTGCAAAAGTGTCTTTACTAAGTCCATATTCCTGAACTGCACAGCCATTGCAAAGGGGGTTGACCTGTGCTGTAAAGAGAAATTTATGGTTTGTATCACTGAGTCACTTTAAAAAAAAATACTACAGAGGCCAAAATACCTCCTATAATTTCCTGCTCCTTGAAACCCAGTAATCATGAGAAACCGAGTAATCGTGACATTTGAAAATAATGTGTCTGTCTGACTCACAGTAAACAGTTGGTACAATTGCTTAAATAAATCAAATTCAGTACAATCAAACTGGTATCAATTCAGAAACATCTGGCTAGGGTGGCCTCCACCTTTAATCTCATTCTAGAAAATCAGATTAGCGGCTATCCCCTACCATCCTAAGAGTTTCTTTATTTACCCCTATCCAAAGTAAACACTTTTATCTATTTATAGACATTGTCTTTACCCTATCAATAGTATTATTTCGTTTTAGTTAAGTCTTCTTTTTTGGTAAATGTTTTACGACACTCACAAATTTTGTTAATTTCAAACTTTTCATGTAGAAAGTTTGTATAACCACAACCATCTTCCTAATCTTGCTGATGAAGGTACAGTGTAAACCTGATATAACAGGGATGGTGGGACCAGAGAAAAAGTCCTGTTATATCAGACCCCTGTTACATCAGAAATGCAAGGGCAGTAAGCATTTGTGGACTAATCCAGCTGTATTTATTCATGGGTAATTTCCCTTGCCACAAGTACCCACTAAACAGGGTGTGCTTGCAGTGGCGTGGCTTGCGCGGGTCTGTCTGTCTGTCTGTCTGTCTGTCTGTCTGTCTGTCTGTCTGTCGGTCTGTCGGTCTGTCTGTCTGTCTGTCTGTCGGTCTGTCTGTCTCTCTCTCTGTCTCTCTCTCTGTCTCTCTCTGTCTCTGTCTCTCTCTGTCTCTCTGTCTCTCTGTCTCTCTCTCTCTCTCTCTCTCTCTCTCTCTCTCTCTTATTTTTTAAACATTGTTAACGAGCCTTTGTCCCTGCTATAACCAATTGAGCTTTGATGAGGCCCTGTTATTGCTGATAACTTTTAATAGAGACAAAGAGTAGGAAAAAATGGGGATTTTAAAACTCTCTGTTATTACCGGATCCCTGTTATTACCGGCTTGTTATATATATGGTTTCCACTGTATCTATTACAATTTCCGAGGTAGATTGGAAGCTGTATTATCAAACCCGAAAGGGACCTGAATTATTATTCTCACCTTCTGTGAAATACTTTTTCTCATTTCAGCATTCTGATCGGGAAAGTAACACTTCAAAATGACCTACAGTATGCCAATTCAACAACAATTAAGTAAGGCAGCTACATGACAGCTAGATCATTCACGACGTGAACCATTTACCTTAGACTTGGAAACAACAAGAAATGGAATAATATATCATTACATTTTTCACTTATGATACAGCAGCATTGAACCTAATAGTGAAATACGAGTATGCCATTCAACTTACCCTTCCAGTCTTATTCGGATCTGCCCCTGCTCGCAGCAACAAATCCACAGACTCCTTATTCCCCCTGAAGACAGCATGGTACAGAGCAGTCACTCCTTCGCCTTCCTGGTAGACACCCAAAAAAAGTTTTATATATATATACATAAGTATATGCATGTTCTTATTGCTTTAAGACACAAATAGGTGATTTGAAGGCAAGTAGCACTCTGGGGGTTACCTGAGGTCTATTATTTAGCTGAAATAGACCCTCAGTTTTCAGATTGATACAATAGAAAACTGTAATTTTTTAACTGGACCTTTCCAATTCAAGGGTTGTACCTCATTCTCTTAAACTTGAAAATTATTTTTATAAACACACAGTGTAGTCCACACCACTGTCAAAAAAGCTTTGAAATTGACCGTTTCAAAATTAGGATCACCCCTAACATTTTTAAAACAGACTTGTGGGGTGTGTGTGTGTGTGGGTGGGGGGGGGGGTGGGGGGGGAGGGGGTTCACTTACTGTAAGGTCGTTTATGTATTCACCACAAAATGCAAGAGCTTCCTTCAGCAAATGTATGGCATCTGAGTTAACTGCATGTATAATGTAAGAACTTTTCCCCCACGATGGGTCCTGCAGCATCCTATTGAGGCCTTGCTCAAAAGGTGTTGCCATTTTATGAGAGCTACCTATGAACCACTGAGGAGGAAAACAATAAAATTAGATTAGCATAGAAGCTCAAAAGTAATGAGCACTACACAAAAATAGAAAAGGGGAAAAGACAATAAACAGTAGACAAAAGTAAATTTTCACTTTTGAACCCGCACACCTGCACGGATTTGAGGGCTAAACAGCCATATTTTTTTTTTCAGAACACACACACACATACATCCACTAAAATTTTCACAAATCACCTATTTTCAAGAAAATATCAAACCTAACTGCAAAACATCAAATTATGGTGAAATACAGTGGGGGCGTCCCTCCCCCGGTATCCCCATGATTTTTTTAACCCTTATGCTGGGGCCATGCTATTAAAAACAATTGAAATACTACACAATTGAGCCTATCGTATCATTTGTATTATTTTTTTTATTCATTGTCATAGGCCTACATCTCATAAACTAATAATATGCAGTCAAAATAAAGGGGATTTTTTGGTTGTTTTGGTAAAAGCGCTTTAAGGAGCTCGCAACTGCTTAAGTTCATATGAACGCGCGAGGCACAATAAACATTTTCAAGTTGGTAGGAATTAATTTTGAATTTTGCTCAGGTGGCAGCCAAAGCCTTTTCTCATCAATTTTGGACCACCAAGGGATCTTTAATATATACTTGCCAAAAGGATCTCTGAGATTTTTCACCCAAACCGAGAAGGCTGGGTGTTAGATCTTACCTAAAACCTACCGTAAGATCACAGGTGTGGCTGAAAGACAGCAGTAAGGAGCCAAGGAGTAGCAATAGAAAGGCTGCAGAAAGAGTCAGGAGCTCAGAGGAGTTTTGCAGAGGGGGAGGGGCGGAGGGCAGAAAGTGGAGATGAGAGCAGATGACAGAATATGGCGAGAGAGCAGGAAAGGAGGAGAAAGGAGAAAATTTTAGAGAAGAAAATTTTCCGTCGCTGTCAGGTTTTCAAAACTTCTCTACCACGAGAATGAGAGCCCACTAATAAAGCAGATTTTTAAAATGAATCAGAAAACAAAAAGAGCTTTAAAATTAAAATACAGTATAACCCGGATAGGTCGAACACAGATTACTAGAAATAATGCATCCATTGAACTATGCCTGCGGTCCCATTTTTTCTTCTTCTTTATCTTTGTAAGAAAATTACGCGAAGCTCGAACACAAACACTAAAGAGCACAACTAATTACGCCACCATATAGGTCTAAAGTTAATGTCCTTTGAGGTGCACTTGAGACAAAATAATAAGAGGCCTAATAATTTTTTTTTTATGGAAAAGGCAAGGTTAGTAAAACACCCTCCCTCCTCCCTCCCCATTCCACAGAAGCAGCTAGCTGAGCTTTTTTTAGCACGCTGCTCAACAGGCGTGCCCTCTGCACGTGCCTAGGTCATAGGCCTAGTTAGGCTTGTGCGGAGCAGGCGAGAGGAAAGGTTGAGCATCACCCGATACGCCACCCCACCCCTCTTTGCAATGGATTGTGCGCTTGGTGGGAGAGGCGGGGTTTGTTTCGTCATCGCGTTGTTGATTACTTGTAGCGATTTATGTGCTTATCATGTCAAATCGTTTATTATGTTTTGAAAAATTTGAAAAGGCACCAGTCGATTGGTGCAAACTAAAGACCTCTCACATTGACCCACGCAATTAAGCTGTCTTGGTACCGGTTGGCTTATTACCGATCGAACTCGAAAATGTTGCTCATCATATTTCTCATTCCCAATCAGCCATTTTCAAATTCTCTTTAATTTCAAATTCAAGTCAATAGGCATAAAATCTAGACTGTCCCCGTAGAATTATGCAAATTTAGATGGCCAAATTAAGCCCAAAAAATGCCAAATTATGCAAGTTACCATAACACCATTCGCGACATGTTTTGCAGTTTTTCAACAAGAATTTTCAGGATTTTTATGTTTTATGTACAGAAAAATTGAAAACAGAACATATCAGTATCAGTAATTTGTTGTGTATTTGGAAAGAAAACAATACACATCAGTCAGAAAAAAAAACAACCAAAAAATATCATCTCTGTAACTTTCAGCTGTAGATCTAGATCTAGATCTCTATATATAGAGGAAAGATCTAGATCTAGATCTCTATATATAGAGGAAAGAAAAATGTAAAAAAAAAAAAAAAAAGGACATCTGGACCTCTGATGCCGGCACATTACTAAAACCAGGGACACCTGTCAAACATGAAACATCAGCAGACATGAGAACAACAACTTTTGATGGATTGAAAAATTGAACATGCTCAAGGAACAAAATCCCAACCCATAACCAAGATCTTCTATTAAGGGAAATAACCAACTAGTCACTTAAATGAGACTTATAACGGTGATTACCTCCCTTTAGTCACATGGCGAGGGGTTGTTTCGTGAAAAGAAAGGAAAACAACGTAAAAAAACGCAGGGAATCCAAAATTATGCAAGTGTTGCAGAATTACGCGAAAAAACGCGGGCGGGCAGCAGCCGCACAATTGCATTATAATCCAACGGGGACAGTCTAAAGATCTAACCTATCTGATCGAAGACTATAGCCGAAAAAAGAATTATGGCCAGCTCTATTTCTCCGCTCGGAAAAATAAACTTGAACTCTATTTCTCCGAACGGTTTCCGTTCTCAAGATTTTTTGGTTATTTGCGAATGGAGTGGCCCTCGTGCGTGCATGTGTGCGCATGTGTTTGTGTGTTCGTGTGTATAAGGTGTGATGAACGGGGGAGTCTTGTAACCTCTCACAATGTGTTACATCCACCACCCCCTACCCCCTTCTCTTGAGGGATTTTTTGTGATTTAGTTTTGGAAGTGCCTATTTGCAACCCCGCGCTGCGATTAGCGCCAGGGCTAAATAAAACGCCGTGTGTTAAATATAAGGCTTAATCTACGCTTCGTTGTTGGAAGTCCTAATGGCTGAATGGACAGCACGTCTGCATTTTTAAGTCAAACTATTGTTTTATGAGCATGGGTACGAATCCCGGTCCAAGAAGTTTTCGGAGTTTTTTCTTCTTCTCTTCCCGACTGACCAACAATTTTTTCCCATATAACTATAACTTGTTGCTTTCTGGTTTTGTCCGCAAGAGGAGCTTTTACCTACAAGAAAGTAGGTCAATACTTTTCCTTTTACCAATTTAGGCCTGGTTAAAGTTCAATAGTGGCTTTCCTTGGTCTGTGAATGTAATTATTTAAAAAAAATAATTTTAGGCTCAGGAGAAGAAAAAAAAACGTTCCGGGACCGGGATTCGAATCCATGCTTGGAAGCACTGAACATTAGAGAACGTAGACAGCTTGTATACGTTCTTTAGGTCTAACGTTAGAGAATGTAGACACTACCCCCTGCTAATTTAAACGCCGAAGCCTAGAAATCTAGATGAGGTGACGTCATGTGAGACAGCAAAATATAAAGAGCAGGCAGAGATAGATCTAGAGTAGTGTCTAGATCTAATAATTATTTTTAGGTATTGTATGACGACACTGCTGACAGGAAATAATCTAGTGCTTGGCTTAGACCAAGTTCCACCGTCTTGTTATTGTTATACCAGAGAGTTTACAGTAATACTAGAGAGATGGCACTTCGCCCGGATGCGCGTATCTGGGTCACCAGCTGATCGTGGAGAAACGCGCAGTAAACAAAACAAACTGCGTCCATTGTTCAAGGCATTTTCGTTGATCGCAGACAAGCATGGCCCCGGTTGGCACGAAATGTCGATGGTGTTCTGCTATAAACTGCACCTATTAAAATCAAAATCTGAGTTTCTTTCGATTTCCAAAGGATGACGAATATATTTTGATGAATAGAAAAATATAGATCAAAATAATGACAACGTGATTGTGGTCCTACCAGACTGACACTCCATGCACAAACTCAACACACTTCAACTTTGTAATATATCAGCTATGAATTGGTTTTTGGGTTTTTTTCCTTATCTAAATGCCCAACTTGAGCGTGCATTCTACTAGTGAAAGATATGTTACCTGGGTCAGCGAAAAGTTGTCTATACAAAGTGCCATCGATCGGTTTTGCTACTTTCTTTGTCCGATTACCACTTTTTTTCTTCTTTTTTTT